TGAATAACATCTTTATGAATTGCATAGTGCATCTACGTATCCCACACAACAACCACTTCGAGTTCCAATTAGTTGTCTGTAGTGCGCGAGCAAATCTTACTAACAACACAAATAATGGTCGTTTCACATAATTATTCCTTTGACACAAAACCACTCGGTACTCTCGTCAAAGACTAATATTCTGTATCGAGAGCATCAAAGCATACAAATAAAGAACACACTCCCATAGACATATACGGAGCACACGCCATTTTGATTTCAAGACTACCAAAACCAACTTTGATTAACATCTTGATCTGTCCAAGCAAAGGTAACTATAACCATTCAGCCTATACATAAAGCTTTCCATTCATTGGATAAAGCTTACACGCTATAAATCGCATCAATACTTGCAAACAAATTGAATGGGAATATCAGGCGCAATCACGTCCATTTTAATCGCTTGATTAATTGAATTCGTGCGTATTTTTGGTAAAATTTTTGTAACGAGTTTCTACAAATATTTTATATTGAATCTGCACAGCCCATGGAAACCAGCAACAACAATGATACTACACATTTTTACTTCATTACTGTGAGTTGGACCAAGCCAAGCAAAACGTAATATCTAATTAAACTGAAAAAAAATCCCGTAAATTAGTTTTAAACCCCGACTTACCTTAAACAATACCTAACATTTCATTGTATAAAACCAGATATTCTGCATTTCAATATTTATTCCACTGAAAATAAAGTCTCATTTCAAATAACTGGGAGACGTCTTCCACAATTTCATTTCGCCGGTATTTTTCTGTCTTCTTGACTGCCGTGCAATTTATTAAATGTAGCCTTTCATCACGCCTATGGGAAATGAGTAAGTCTTAATAGGTAGTCGGAACTTCCCCTATACTTATTATACTCTTTAGTCGGAACCCTCAGACTATCAAACACACTCTTTTTATTCATTTATTTTTGTAAAATATCAATCCATCAAGACATCACTTGCAACGTTCCACTATTTTCGAATCGGGATAAACGTTCTTAGACCATAGTCAACTATATATAATGTTATCAGTTAAATATTAGGTTACCTACAGCTTCTTGCTTCACAGTACCTACAGTATACAAATCTAAAACCGAATTTATTATGCGTTGTCAACTTTTAAAATAACTTTTTTCTCAAGCCCATTAAGGTAGAGGTATATGTGACTATAAATTATTGAAAGAAACTACATTTATTACAAAATCAATTAAATATGATTTGACACAGAAACATTAAACATTATTTACAGTGTGCATATAATTTTATATAATAGCGTTTGTATCAACTAAAGAAAACAGAATTAATTCTCAATTATTTTTGTAATTAATCTATATAAATAATGTGGAGATGAAAATAATAATGGCAATAACAATGAAATAACAAAGTTAATAGAAATAAGTCACAAGAAACAAGCAGAGTAAAATAGTTAATTTTGATATCATTCCGCTCAGTCAGTTTAAATACATTTGTCTCTAAGGAATTCATGGGCATTAGGTATAGTAACATTTTTTAATCAGGGTTTTTAATGTAGTTAAATATTGGCGTTTAATTATTTTATCGAGTTCGGTAGGTATGTGATTACAAATTATTGGAGCGTTGCATACTACACTATTTATATGTCGCGGAGAACCTAACGGGTAACCGGGGCTCCGGCTCGACGTGCAGGAGAAGCAACGGGGTGGTTTTAGTCAGCAAGAGTCTGACACTCCCTCCCGCCTCACCCAGGCGGGAGCAGTCATTCGATGACTTTCCCCCCTTAAAAAAAAACACTATTTATATGTACATACATACACCTATTTATTTATGTACTGCAAAAAGCGGATTGCCGCAAATTGTCCTTGTCCCCTATTTTGGAGCACAACCTTGTCGGGCACAGGGTCTGTGCCTGTCACAATAACGGGAAGAAATCAATACAAACTCAGACAAACACAGAGTGCACGTGATATCGCTTGTTAAGGCTATGTGGCTTTGTTATTGGGAATTTGGGGAACGAAATAGTAGTATTTCTTGATAGGTATTTTACTACACTGTAGACGATATTGTGTTAAGCACGGTTGTCGCGTACTCATCATGGATGCTATAGATTGGATCACCGCATTTATTGCTAAGAAGATTTTAAGTGTGGGAGAGCCATGCTTCGGCTCGAATGGGCCGGCTCGACCCGAGTGATACCACGGCCTCACAGAAAACTGACGTGAAGCAACGCTTGCGTTGTATTTCGTCGTGTGAGTGAGGTTACCGGAGGCCAAATTACCCTCCCCTTCCACAATCTCCGCAATTCCTGAATCCCCAACGATCCTCAAACTCCTAATCCCCAAAAGGCCGGTAACGCACTTGTAACGCCTCTGGTGTTCCAGGTGTCCATGGGCGACGCCGATTCCTTACCATCAGGTGATCCGTCTGCTCGTTTACCGGCTTATGCCATAAAAAAAAAGATGTAGAGGTATACGTAGGTTAGAACCAGATATTTTGCTATACGATAAAAATAGTCTTTTACTTATTTCTGGCATATTTATAACTTACAGGTACCTGTTGTAAAGAGACAAAACATCGTCAGTAAATAACTAGTCAGCATATAATAAGTAATTTAATTTTATGTTCAATGTTACGCATAATTCCCAACCACCATACTCATAAATGGGTCGTTAGGGCCTCATAAGGGAGCATTTATAAAACATAATTATAATAAGCTAGGTAACTATTATGTGTGAGCGAGTTAAATATTACACTTCATGATAAAGGTACGGTCACTGAAAATTAATGGCCAGAGACCAAACTCAATCGCTTGTCGCTTACTTTATTAATGACCTCTGCCTTTACCTTCCGGAAATAAGGAAATAAAAGATGTATGTGACGTTACAGAAATAGAACAAGCTATTATCTTTTTTATGAAATAGGATCTAAACGAGTAGACGGGTCACCTGATGGAGTCATAGGACCGTTGCCGGCCTTTTAATTAAAAAGGAATACACTTTTTTCTTTAGTTTTCAAGGTCGTATCAGTTCGGAAATATTACCTTTGTCTATATTTCCTTTTTTTAACACAAAAAATATATAAATAATTACTTTGCTACGTAGGTGCTAAAACATGCTTTTCTGGCCAAAAACACTTAGCTTTACTAAAAATCCAAAGATGGCTAAACTGACTTAACTCTAACAATACCTTACATTAAAATGTTTGAAGTACTAAGTACTTATGCCTTAGAAAATCCTATAACAAACATAAATGAAAAGAATGGCCATTATTTTTGATCAAAAATTCAGAAACCAAAATAACACTCTGACATCTACTTACTCGTGTTTATTTACTGTTGTATGTTTTACTGCATGCTAATGGACTAGATTTATACCTATACAAGTTATGTTTCCTCATAAAGCAAATGTTCCGTATAGTGAGCGCCCCGCCGATCATTACTCGGGGAGGCATTAATATAATTCCCCAAACTTCTGATACAAAGCAACTTCGGAAGTCATGTTGTTGATTTCAAATTGTATGTACATTCTCTGTTCCTAGGTCAGGGGGTGTTTTCCGACAAATCTTATAGTGTGGGAAGATGCTGTTTTAGAAAGTTAGTTAAAAGGTCACTATTGTCTTGTTAACCATGATTGATGTATAATTGACTTGCTTACTTCGTAATTTTAAGTTAGATTAACTTTACGTCGTAGGTACACTACCCTGTGACGTACCTACCTACAATGTGTTTTTATTTAGGATAAATCTTTATTTTTAAAAATAAATATGTACCTAAACATTTATAGACATCTCACATTACTTGTTAAGATAAAATAAACCCTTTTAACGTTCCTGTTCGATTTTCCTTTCATAAGGAAAAACAAAAAGTTCACTTTCAGCTATTAGAATAAGGTTTGTTTTTTCAAACCACAGATAGCATAGAGAAGAGCATATCACTACCCGCGTGGAAATTCCACGAAGTCTGTAAGCTTTGACTGTAGTATGTACCTTCATTTGAGGGTCCTCCAAGTCCGCTTCCGCGACAATAACGACCCTTGAACACGCCCTTAACGAAGACCCTTGAAAGTAGACCTTGAATAATTAATTCCCCAAAGAGAAAACCACGAATGTTGTCTGCGAATAATCTGATTCTGTGATATAAATACCTAGCTCATGTTCCGTTTGTGTACCATTAAATTATTTTTTAAGGGGGGAAAATCATCGCATGACTGCTCCCGCCTGGGTGAGGCGGGAGAGAGTGTCAGACTCTTACTGACTAAAAACCACCCCGTTCCTTCTCCTGCACGTCGAGCCGGAGCCCCGGTAACCCGTTAGGTTCTCCGCGACAATTATTTTATAGTAGGAGTGTTTAAAATATGATTACAATGGCTTATCAATTATCTCATACATTTTATGCTATTGGAGAGCGAGGAGACAGGCCTATGTCCAGCACTGAATGGAAAAGTGTTGATGATGATGACACACATTTACAACTGGTAAGCACTGTACCGTCATTACAGTCAAAAGCCGAAAACGTAGATAATTATTATATTGAATAAAGATTTACTCTTAGTCTTTTATTGTTAGTGGATAGTCATCAAATTTTACTATATTACTATCTTGCCCTGAGTGAACTAATTATTTCCATTCTACTTCACCCCACATAGCAAGATCACAGGGTGCCTGCAAAAATGCTAATTCAACAGAGTTAAACATTCAAGAAACAGTCGTGTAGTATGTTTAACTGAAATAATTAAGACAAACACGCTGATTAACCCAAATTGTTCGATAAAATTACTTTAAACTCATATTTTATTCATTATAATTTTCTTTTGCTATTTCCGAACGAAACACAAATTGACAGTATTATTTATTTAGAGTCGCAACACTGGCAAGCTGGCATGGCATATGGCAACATCAGAAATAACGTCAACGTCAAAAACACGCGTGAATGTGTTTACAAAACGTGTGAATATTTTTCAAGTTTCAATGATTTAAATCAAGGAAAGCTTTATATTTAATCAAAATGGATTTTATTATCGATACTGTCGGAGATGATGATCTCCAAGTGAGAACAGAATTAGTTGATGATGCGGAAAAACCATATTATAGAGGTTAGTTTATTTTGTAATTTAACAAATGCAAGTTTTTCGTTGGAATTTTATCCTGATTTTCAATTATTGTACTCCGCCGCTTAGGTTATTTACTGACTCAAGCTTTACTTCGGTATATAAATATAATTCTAACAATTAAATTCCTAATAAAAACTACTCGAACTCATGAAGTGCAACCGGCATAAGTATATCAATATTTTAAAACAAACTCACCATCAAAATTAATCCACAGACCATGAAGAAAGACAGGCAGCAATTTTATCTCTATTCGACACAAAGAAGCAAGAATTAGACACGAAACATGCAGCGGAGGAAGAAATTAATATGAAATTAAAGAGCATGAAGATTGACAATCTCTGTGATGAATTCTTCCAAGAAATGGGATGGTCACAGTCAATTATTATTAAAAAAGAGAAAAAGAAAAGGTTATTCCACTTTGACCAGCTGGATTTGGAGACGGGTAAACTGAAGTCTAATCTCGGTGGTGTAGATGTTGAGAAAGAGATGAAGAGCAGTGTTCTGAAGCCAGGGTTTGAGAAAGACCATGAAATGCCCAGTTATGACGTTAGCAAGAACAAACTGAAGGCTATTAGAAGGGTATGTTTATTTCAAAATTCAAATTGATATTATGTTTAAGTTGTTAACATTGTAGTTGTTTAATACATATATATATTATACGGAAAATTTGTTCATACAAAAATAGTCTATAAACAATGGAAATTAGGTCTATAATGGAGTCAGTGGTGAGTGGTCACTAGCGACCGCTTGGGGATTGAACAGTTAAAAGTATCAAGACTTGTCTTAAATTCTTATCAATTCAATTTACATGCTATTTCTATTTTATATTCAATTTTTTTATCAAGTTGGTTTCTATATTCAAATAAATATTCCAACATTATAATTTGAACCATTGTCTCCAATGGCTTGTATTATAATATTTGCAATAATAATAAGACATTATCTATAAATAATTACAGAAGGAACGAGAGAAGAACAAGGGACCCGGATGGTTTAACCTGCCAGCACCAGAAGTCACTGAGGAGCTGAAGAATGACCTGCAAGTCCTGAAGATGAGATCAGCTCTAGACCCCAAACACTTCTACAAAAAGAATGATATGGAAGTCCTGCCTAAGTACTTCCAGGTAAGTTTTTTAATTGACTTTCCTATTAGTAACATAGTTTTAAATCACATTGACGTTATTATATTCTCAAGGGGTGGAAAAATCTTTTAAAATAGGTACCTAATATTAATAACCACTTTTTTCATTTATGTTGCTATACGTTGGACAAGACGTTCAAGACTAATATACAAGGTTGCTGATGGTGTGTTGTAGCTAGGTTCCATTCGAAACCATAACATTTTAACCATGTTATGATACATAACAGAACTCTTTATTGCATCTAAAAGATCTATAACTCAATGGTAGAACTTACCACCATCTCAGGTATCAATAAATGTAAAATATTTTTCCAGGTGGGTCGCATCATGGATTCTGCACTAGACCATGTCAACGAGAGGTTGACGAAAAAGCAGAGGAAGAGGACTATGGTTGATGAACTCCTAGCAGATGCTGAGTTCCAGAAGTACAACAAGAAAAAATACAAAGAAATTGTTGATGATAAGAGAAAGACAGAGTATAGAACTTTCATGAGAGATAAGAGACAGAAGAATAAAGCTGAACTAAAGAATAATAAGTTAAAAAGTAAGAAGAAAGCGTAGTAAATAAATCGTTAATTTAATTTAAAATTGTCTTTTTATTTGTGTCCACTGTGTCATTATTTATAGTGGCAACACAGACTTAGACTAAGGAAAAGCGCGGGAAATAAGTGTAGCTGACACAAAATACTACAAAAATAAGTATCTTAACAAGGTCGTAATTATACTCGGAATTTTAATTCGATTCCAGATTTGACAATTTCAGTGTTGCAACGTTATGACAAGTACTAAATAGTGACGTTGCGAAATTATTCGATATGGAAATGCAATATTTCTGGATCGATTCTTCGCGTTTATAATTTTACTCTCGTAAACTAAGTTTATCAGGAAATTAAATATTTCTGAACCGATAATTTAGTTTTGACGATTAATTAACGATCTGATACTTTTCTTTTATAGTTGTGTGTGAAATAAATAAAAAAATGTAATCATGAAGGAACATGACAAATAAAACAGATAGATGTATTATGTTAATAAGTTATTTTATAAATTGTCGCCGTCATCGCTATCGCTATTCTGGCACTTTCTGTAACATTTATTATAAAACACACACATTGATTGTTTATCGATTTTTGTGTGCATCACTACACTATTATATGTGGTATCATTATTTCACAAAATGACAGTAGCTATTGTCAAATCAGGAATCTAATTAAAATTCTGACTATAAAATAAAATATCATAAGTAACAACATTCAACCCTTTATTTAAACTAAATGGTTTTAGTGTAACAATTATAGTAAAATTCGAAGTATATGGAAAATATCACAGGTGTTGAAGACACATTTGTTGCATTAGTACACTATTACATAATATAAACACAGTTGATAATACTGTATGTATTATCAAACTTCAAGAATTTGTAAATGTCTGCTACAAATAATATATAACATTTTTCAATATCTAAAGACTAGAAGTACATTTTTTGTTTATAGAGAAAAATATAACAAACTGTATACATACATGCACATAATTGTATCATTTACAATTAATTTTATGCAGAAATGAATTATGGTACATAATCAATTGTTCCCTTAAAAGACTAATTTAACATTTTTATTGTGCATTATCAGCAGAGTTTCAAACTTTACAGTGCATTGTACTGCAGACAACATCAAGTACCTCTTATGCATATGAACATTCTGTAAAGTATTTTCATCTGTAGATACACACCAATTAATATAACTCTTACCCAAAATAATCCCTTACAAACACTGAATTAAAATATTTTAAGTAAACTATGCTTTGTTGAAAACCCTTGTTTTGGGTAACTAGTATCCACCGGTGACATCGATCGATGCTCCTGTCATAAATGAGCTCTTGTCCGAACTCAAGAAGGCAATCACTTCCGCTAGTTCTGAAAATAAAGAGACCACATTAGTTTTATGCAGGTAATATGACTTTATGGACTTGAAGCTGTCGATAAATCCTTTACGTTAAATGTCAAACTTTGATCTAAATACCTTTACGATTCTTGTATCTTTCTTGTATCAACAATATCGGAAACAGCTCGGGGTTTCAGTGCCAATAAATCAATCTAGCTAGGTTTCATTTTCAGGAAATGTTACTAAAACCTATGTGTAATACTAAAAACTATGTGTAAATAAAGTTTGGATAACTATAACAAGAAAAGGGAATGTTGAACACAAGTTTTGTGTTCAATTACTACTATAAGTAAAGTAAGCAATTTTACAGTATTAGTCTGGTTTATTTCCTGTGGATGATGTACCCGCCATCACTAATAAAGTCTCATGGGCAATTTAATGATATAACTATTTATGTTGTACTTTTTTATACATATATTTTATGGGCCGACTTTGACCACTATCTCGCCTGGTGGTAAGCCATGATGTGGTCTACGATGGAGCATGTCGTCCCATAAGCAATCTATTAACTCGAGCCTTGAACACACCCAGTTGTAAGCTGTATTTTAATATTGCTTTACTTACCAGTAGGAGACCCAAGTCGTCCCAAAGGTACTTGCTTCATGATTCCTTGTATGACCTTCTCAGGGACAGTCTTAACCATTGGAGTTTCTATGAAGCCTGGTAGTATAGCATTTACTCTGAAATCAATGTTGATTACTGTATTAGAAACTTAGTGGATAGTAAAAGGAGTATACTTATCATCATTTATCCCCGAAAGGGTAGACAGAGGTGCACATTACGGCACTTAGCCAATGTACAGTGTAACACTCACTGCCAGTGGTAAGCCTATTGCCATATAACTGGGTACAATACCTGAGACATTTTTTAAAAAAATCCTACTATTGTGACTTAATTTAAATAAATATATATTTAACAATTAAATGGCCATGACCGGCGTTAGAGAAAGATTAGCCTTCAACGGTATTTTAGTGGCATTTAGACTTAATTAGGTGCTTATTTAGCCTTACCTAATGTTGAATTTTCCTAATTCTTGAGCTGCAGATTGTGTCATGCCGATAACACCAGCTTTACTTGCTGCGTAATTGGTTTGACCTGAAAGAAAATAATAATTATTAAGTATTTTTTTATATATATTTACTTACTAGCCAAATTAAATAAAACTGCTTCTGCCTCATTGGCCGAGTGCTCGCAAGTGCGACTGCCGGGCAAGGGGTCTCGGGTTCGATTCCCGGGTCGGGCAAAATATTACTGGGTTTTAAAAAAATCTCAGTAGTAGCACGGAGTCTGGAAATGTGCCCGGTATATGGCAATAGGCTCACCCCCTATTACATGGGACTCATAACATAAATAGTGAAAAATGGGTGTTACTTCTGTGTGCATCTCTACCTAACCCTTCGGGGATAAAAAGGCGTGACGTTATGTTATGTTGTAAATAAAAGTATCTTTGTTATTTTATTATATAAGTCTACAAACCCATATTCCCATATTTGCCAACAATACTGGAAAGATTTACAATCGAGCCTGGTAATCCTGCTTCTGACATCGCCTTTGAAAACGTTTGCATTACTAGAAAAGTGCCCTGAAAACAGAAAATTATTTCACATTAATTTAATGATTATCGAAAGTCTGTTAATGAAGGATCTTAATCACAATAATGACATCTTTATTTACAAAGTTTATAAAAAACATCCAACTATCTAAGGAAGATATAAAGATGTAACAGGAAGGCATCTATCAATCACCGACACAGATAGGAAAAAGTACCTAATTCATACATTTACTTAGCACTTACAGATAGAGGTGATTTAAAGTTTACCTTTAAATTTGTATTTAGCACACTATCATAATCCTCTTCAGACAGTTTCAGCAGCCAATTGTCTCTAGTGATACCAGCGGAGTTCACAACTATTGTCGGAGGTGCCTTGTATTGCTGCAATATTGTCGTTAACAGGTTTCGCACTGCTGTTGAATTGGAGACATCCAGTTCCACTGCCATGTGGTCTGCATCTGTAATAATAATAAAAGAGCATGTTATGTTATGCAAAAGAGCATAAAACATTTAATTTTTACAAAGCCTCATCCTTGGCATTAGGGAATATGCCATCTGCGAACAGTTCTAAGAGCAGGAGTAGAAATGGGGTGGATTTTAGTCAGTAAGTCTGTCACACCCAGTCAATGGATGATTTTTTCCCCCCTTACAAAAAGGCAATATGGCAAAGGCTCTATCACATAGGACTTATATGACATCACTCTGTGTCACATTTTGCTATGTGTATCCCATAAACAGCAATAGGTTCCTGTCTAAGTAATACATGGAACTCAACAGCATCACATCTAGTCTAGTAAGGTGTATATAACACATTAGGTATATCTGTGTATCATTCCTTGCATTCCTTGCATTCTGGATTTAACTCGTCGAGTACCGGTTTTATAGACACAATTAAAGAACAATAGGTCGCGGTCACCGGTGACCGCTTGGTGTTTGACAGATTAAAAAAAATCTATTTCAAAATCTAAATGTTATGAAATAGGTTTCGTGTGTAGTTTCTATTCAATTATTTAGATTTAATAAATATTACTTACCATTTTTGCCAGAAGCTAAAGCTGTGTGAGTTTTAATGGTTTCCATGGCTGCTTCATAGTTCTTGTCAGCTGCCACAACTATGGCACCCTCTCTGGATAATACCTGGCATGCTGCTCTACCTATACCGGATCCAGCACCTGTTGGAAAAAAATTCATTGCAAAGCATCAACAAATTGGGAAAAAGGTTTGATATCATTGCAACCAGTTTTTTTATTATTCTGTGTGTCGTAATAAGTACCGTTACGCTTGTGACCGCTATCTGTAGAACATTCAAGGTATTGGAGGTCGTGATTATTTTTATTAGGTAATTGATAAGACAACTAAGTAACAAAATAACTAAGATCAAGTAAATCAATGTTCTAACAACATCCGCATATACTCGTTCTTTAGTTCTCTGTCATGAAAATGGTTACTGAATGCTATAACATATTTGTTGATTAGTAGCTAGTATTTATTTGATTGACTTTCTTTAATGGGATATAATTCTAACAGTAAAAATAAAATAATCTTACCGGTAACTAGAGCCAATCTTCCAGCCACTATTCCTGACACCATTTTTATTGATTTTAAGTTAAAAATTGTAGACTTATAATACGAGAGAAATAAAAACCTGCCGTGTGTTTAGAAAGTTTGACTTTGAACTTTCCCTACTGCACAGTGCACGCTTATCAGCTTTATCAAACAACTGTTATCATACTGACATTTAAATATTCGTTCAAAAACTTGATGTAAAGATCATTGAACTAAAGTTTAGAAATACGGTAGGTAGTAAGAATACAAAACATAGAAACTGCCCAATATGCAAGACATTCTAAGACTCTTTTAAATTGTGTATGTCACATCATGCCTCTTTGTCCCTTGCTTGACAGAAATATATGTACATATCACCTATGGAGACGCATGCTTTGCTGAGACTAATAGGCCGGCTTGAACAAAACGATCTCACAGGTAGAGGAAACTATGAAATAATAGATTTTATATTTTACCATGTGAGTGAGGACTAGAGTTCTAATCATCGGCTCCCTCTCATCTTCAATTCCCAGAAGGCTGGTAACATACTTGTAAATACTAACTCTTGGTTTACTGGGTACCTATCCATGAGTGTCGGCATGATTAGAGATTAGTTTGTTCATTTGTTGACCTCTCTTACAAAGAAATAGGTACTTAATAAAAACTACAGGTTTTTGCCCATTTAGGAATCGAACCATATTGCATAGATATACTTGTTTAATCAATAAGACATTCTTCAATAAACTTTTAGCTCCATCGTTAGCCACATCAGCGCTTACCACCAGGCGAGATAGTGGCCAAACATTATACTATTAAGTAAAAAAACCACAAGAAATATTGCAACGAGATTATTTTGAAACTGGGTACAATATAAAACATGTAGGTAGGTAGGTAAATAAGCATTTATTCTTATTCTACAGAACACAGGTACAATCAAAATAGTTAAAATCCAAAACTCAGTAGATAACCAATTTAAATAGAGCATTCAACTATGTTTTTAAAAACTTTGATTCTCAACTTATTTTTTTAATCACGACTAAAATTAAAAGAAAAATGTAGACATAGGTTGTTAAAATAAACCAAAGAAAATTTAAAGAAATTAATGTTTTTCGTGCCACAATGAAATAAACAAAACTAAAAAAATATAAATGCAGGTAGCATGACCGAATTTTACTCTTCAGTTCAAAATTAAAATAAAAAAATAAAAAACTATCAACTTAAAATTACTTATTGGTACAAAAAGATCTTATTGCCTATAACATGGGACTACCATTGGAGTACCACATTAATTAATACTAAAAATAATAAAGAACAAAAATGGCAAAACAGTTTAACTGTTTGTTGTACAATTTATTAAAGATGGAAAATAGCACTTTTGGTCTTTACGATAATTACCTAAATAAACCCAGAAATAATGAAAGGTGTATTTTTAAAATAGAACTTTTCACAATATTTCTAAGTTGATCCGTTAATAACTTCTTAAATTGGTGCCTCGGTATTAATCTCAAATTAAAAATTAATATATCTTGAGAAAAAAAAATTTATCACTAGTCAACTATAGGTTTAAACAGAATCCATAGTCTTTCAAACTCCTTTTGAAATTGTTCTACTAATTGTTTTTGAGAAGTCACTAGGCAGTCTTCATAGTTACCCCACAATGCTTGGTTAGTCCAGTTTAGTGAGCCTGCCATAACAAACGGTGTCAAATTAGGATCTCCACTCAATGTGTCTACAAGGCAGAACTTGTGGTGCATCAAATTGGTTGACTTCATCCATCGTACCGGTATGCGATTCTTTTCTAACTTCCTTATATTCGATCCAGGCGCAAACGCCATGTCAGCATCAACTATCACACGTATTTTTACACCTCGATAATGTAACTTCATTATAATATTAGTTATATCTTGATTTGACCAAACGTACATGCAAATATCCAGGTTATATACAGGTTGATTCAAGTAATGCAATAATCTGTCCATATTTTCGGATATCCTACAACGAGAGTATTTGCTCTTCTTAACTTCCTCTGATCCATATGAAAACATAATAACCTCATGAATTTCTTTTTCTCTGGTCTCTTCTTTTTTCTTCTTTGTCAAGTATTTATATGTAGCATGCGCAAAAAACGCAAAAGATAGCACCATAAATAAAGTTTGGCTATATGTTTTCAACGACATGGTGTAGTTTTCAACAATCGAAATTAAGGGTTTGGAAATTCGGATCTTATCATCGACGACTTTAAAAATGTATAACTGTTGATAATTTATATTACACGTATTCGAACTGTTACATTTTATATTCAGCTACGAAAATATTAGAATAAACTAGCTTTTGATTTGCAATTTTGCAGTGTTTTCAGTTTTGCGGTTTTGCTAAATTTTGACGTCTTCATGTCATTGTCATTGTCAAACTTCCCGCGTTTTTAGTGCATGAAAAAGAAATCTGAAATCTGGGCTTTTAAACAAAAATAAAAGTACATAATTTTTAGGATTTAATTTATAAATCACTTTAATTTATAATAACTTTAGGAATGTTTTCATAAAGTTATATTATTTATGCTAAAATCGTGTGGTCTTAAGCGTAAATTTAAATTATACGAGCTATGATGAGCCGGCTGTAAAGATCCGCTGTAGCCGCCAATCAAACTGCAGGAACTGTAGCCATTATCCGTAGTGCTCCCATAGCCTACCACACTTTGTCCTATAAGACTATTTGTATTTTGAACGTACTGTCTATTGCTTACATTCTGCATCATGAGAGAATAATCATTTTGATATAGTCCTGTATTGGTAATAGGAAGTCCAAGGTTTAAGTTAAGATTGTTTGCTTGAAAATGATGGAGCCAAGGTTCTTTAGAGTTGCGCGCATAGTCTTGTCTCGGATCTTGGTGGGGTATCCCGATGGGCACAGCAATTGGCTCCGGTGAATTTTGGCTTGTTGAACTTCTGTGAGTTGACAAAGCCGATCGCTCATTTCTTCTGAATTTCGCTCGACGGTTTTGGAACCATACCTGGAGAAGATTTTGTAATTAGATTGTAAAATATAAAATGTTACATAATCTCAACAATCTTATTCTCGTTTGGAACAATTAGGTTTTTGGAAGATGAAAAAACAAACAAATATGTCTCACCTGTACTCTGGCTTCAGTCAGGTTGACCCTCGCAGCGAGATCTTCTCTAACAAACGCATCTGGATAATGAGTCTTTTCAAACACCTTCTCAAGAGCAGCGAGCTGCTGACTTGTGAACGTGGTTCTATTCCTTCTAGGCTTTTTGCGATCATCAGACTTTACGTCTCTTTCTTCCTCAGACTCTTTTTGATTCTCTCTCTCTTTCCCACCCTTGTCTTCGTACTTTCTTCTCATGTCTTCGTATGCAAGGTAGTCTACAGGTTTGATGTAGGGTCTTTGGAGGTCTTTTGGGTACCAACTAATATCATTCTGGTAACTTGTGTCGTAATTACTGTTGATCTGACGACCTGCTGTTAAATGGTGCAGCCGTAAAAGACTGTCTTCATGACATTTTATCATTTGAAAGAGATTGTGGTTGGTTTCTGGGTAATTTCCTGGACTTACATTGTAATTGGCAACGTTCTGGGACTTCGGATCGTAGTTCTTCGTTATAGGCTGTCGAGTGTTCGTAATATCTGTAAAGAAAGAGACGACTTATATTAGTATTAAAAAAAACTAAATAAAATACTGATAGGGCAATCCTTACTTCCTTACTAATCCTTACTCCTTACTATAATATATATATAATATTATAAATCTGAAAGTGAGTTAGTTTGTTTGTTTGTTTGTTACACCTTCACGCCGTAACTACTCAACCGATTGCTTTGAATTTTTGCAGACGTAAACTTAAAAGTCCGGATTAAATAATAGGGTACTTTTTAACCCGGAAAATATTGATATTTCCGAGGAAAAACAAAAGTATTGGTATAGATGGCGCTGTGTGTATTGGTATATGTCACATAGGCTACTTTTTATTCTTTTGTGACGCGAGCGAAGCCGCGGGTAAAAGCTATAGTAATTTGCATTAACGAAAATATGAGTTTGATATAAGAATTGCACCTTTGCCTTTCCAAGAAACAAATAAAATATAAATTTAATAACAAAGAATTCGTATCAAAATAATACTAAAACAAAGGGTATTATTATCACAAAAGCGCGTTTGTTCTGCAGATCGCACACGCACCGGCGGCTAACGTCTGTAGATCGTTGTTTGATCGGCGTACGCGCAACCCTATCAATTACTTTAGAAATCCGCAACGCTTGCACGTGGAAACTGTTGCTTATGCTTCTTTGAACTTACGAAGGCTGTCTGCCTGAGTAGGTGTGGTACCTAAATCCTTACGACTATATACCTAGGTATATAGTCGTATACCTAGGTATATAGTCGTATAGTCTTAACATCTAGATGTTAAGTACCCATTTGCTTCGAATTCTTTAGGTACTGCGGCAATCAATATTATATTTATGTTCTTTTATAATTACACCTAGTTTAGATATCTGTTACTAAACATCACATGTATGTTTTGTTTGTATTGTTTTTTTTTATGGAATGGGAGGCAAACGAGCAGACGCGTCACCTGATGGTAAGCGTTCAGCCCTGCGCGCAATACTAGAGGTTTATGTACCTATTTACCCATTTTTGCAAAATAAACGATCTATCTTTATCTCTTCAAAATATAATTATTATGATCTGGGGATTTTTTTTTTAAGGGGGAAAATCATCGAATGACTGCTCCCGTCTGGGTGAGGCGGGAGGGAGTGTCAGACTCTTACTGACTAAAAACCACCCCGTTCCTTCTCCTGCACGTCGAGCCGGAGCCCCGGTAACCCATTAGGTTCTCCCGGGGATAGTTCTCTTGTATAAATTTCTCATTAAGTATCTGATTAAAGAGTAATATTAAAGACTATAATTCATTAGGTACCTAATTAGATTGGAACTAGCATTTTATCAATTAAATTAAGAACGCACTTTTTGGCGCCTATGTTTATGGGCGAATGCGCATTTAGAGACATCTTCTAACATACTGGCTTCCAGTAGTGTCTTAGAAACGAAAATAAAATCTGATCAGAGTTTAATAGGTTAAAAAATAAGGTAATGCATTTTAATCTAGCAGTAAAAAGCTGGCATCCCATTAGTCCAAGACAGGATGGCCAGCATTTAAGGTACGTAGGTACCTAGGTACTGCTCAACATTCTTTGTCTGTACCTAATGGCTTTTGAATGCCTGTTTCTTGCTCGTTCCTATATCGAAGGAAAATGAGGTAAGTGCAGTACAGATGCCTACTAATTAAATACTAAGTTATGTCATTTGGTATAAAACGATACCTACTATAATGTACAAGCTAGCTATACTGATTAGAAATACACAAATAGAACAATTTAGAGGCACTTACTTAAATAAATAATAAATTAATTACATAATTTAAAAAAAAATAAATAAAAATAGTCTTAGGCTGTATGCCTGACACCCTCCCGCCTCACCCAGGTGGGAGCAGTCATTCGATGATTTTCTCCCCTTAAAAAAAGGCTGTATAAATGTTGTAATCTAATTAGGAAAGTGAAGTAACTTTATACGCGTTCGTTCCGATTATTCTTTGAGAAAAACATATTTCAGGAGCTTCTACAGAACCAGAAACTCCTTACTTTAATTAATTTAATAATTGACTAAACTACAAAATTTAGCTACAGCTTTGCTGTTACGTTGTGTAATACTAATAACTCTAGGTAAGTAGGTAAGGTACACCATAATTATCTTTAAGAATTTCCATAATCAAATCAAAGTAGGCAGTTGAAAAGTATTCATTTTACAGAAAGTAACATATCAATTATTTTTCTCTAGGTAATTAAAAGAACTAGCTACGCGTAAAAAAGTAGGTAATAAGAAATAAATAGTTTGGGAACTTACCTTTGTTTTGCTCCATTTTAGCAGTTTTGACATCAAACGATATAAAAATCGAATTTACTCAAATATTCCGTAAACACTGTCACATTTGTTTAATATCAAATCCCCGAGCGTCCACTCCGGTGGCAGATCGAACACGGCCAAACCGAATAATTGTTATTAATTCGCCCTCTTATTGAATTACTTTATTTAATTAAATAATTCGACTAACTCATACTAATGTGCGAACTAATGGAGTCTGTGCCGCGATCTGGCTGCTTTGCTACTTCATCTCAAAAACAACATGTGCGTTGGCGCAAAAAATACTCTGAAAACGTCCCCTGGCTGAACACACCCATCCACTGAAAAGAAATATGATTTTCGCCTCTATGGTCATGTGCATAGATTCTATATTTTATATCTGTGGCATGAAAGTTTGGTGTTGGAAATTAACACTTTATAACTAGAGCTTGAAGATTAGTTTTGAATTGGTGTTTGAAAGTGGGAGTTTCACTTAGTTCTAATTTTGAATTTGATTCAAAGGCCGCGAGGCGTGGTTTGTCTTGGCCCGCCTGGCTCCTGAGCGTAAAAAAAAGTAAAATATTTTGAGCGGGAAGCGATTCAGGCAATAATTGACACGTCAACGTAATTATTTATAGCGTTCGTAAGAAAATGAATATAAAGTTTTTAAGTAATTGGTTGTGATAAGTTTATGTTGTTAGAATCTTGCGGTGCGGATGTGAAATTGAATTTTTTTTTATTGTTAGTTGAGAATTTTAGTCGCGCGTGAAAGCTAACGTAAACGTGTGAGGTCAGCTGTGGAAAACAACATTAAAGAATCGGGTAATTTTCCTTTATACTTAAGTAATTGTCACTCAATATTAAGTAGCCTAATATCCATATTTATTTATTTTTATTTATTTATTAACACTTGTACATAAGATGGACTTAATGCCGCAGGCATTTTCTATATTACTACTCGCCATTCCATAAGTAGTGCACCCCGATACGTTGGATCATTTTAAAATTCTGTACCCAAAGTCTACCTACTTAGGGAACTAAGATTTACCTAGGTAACTCTTTCTTTTAAGACTCCGCTGTCCGTCCGTTTATCCATTTAATCCATGCCTAATCTGTAGGTAATTTTAATTACAAGAGATACGAAAGGGTTAGTCAATAAATCTCCCAACCGATTTAGATCATGGTGGCAAGCCTAACTAGACCAGCATTAGCACACACAGGTGCACTCTCTGTTCCGTCATTCTCTGAACCCGACGGGACGGCAGACCGACACGAGTGGAGAAAGATCAGGCGCAGTACCAACGGCTTAGGTACTTTACGGGCTTCCTGAAGCACAGGGATAAAACGCCGCCGAACTTCCTGGCTGAATGGTAATTTTACTCAGAAGATTTTTTTTTTCGGGAAGGAAAATCATCGAATGGCTTCTCCTCTAGTTACTCAGAAGATGCCATTATCACTTTTTGGCCGGTGCGGGATTCGAACCTATGACACGTTTGCAAAACAGCCAGTAAGACAACCATTGCCCCAACCGCGTAGTCAGTACTTATAGGTAGTACCTACTTATTTACTTATGTGTTATATGTAATCTTTAGAAATTATTAAAACATTTAAGGTACTTGTGATTGAGTTTCATGTTCCTCTGGCCTTCAACTCTCTGTCATCCTCCTGAACATAGCTCGCTCCACGTGTTATCATAACTTGGTCTGCCAAGCTCATCATCATGTCTCCACAATTGGAGCAGACAGCCTCTTGGCTAGCTCGATATTGGCATCAATTTGAATCTATCTTTTTGTCTTCAGACAATACATTGGACATGACAATCATAATAGACATAATGACGATGCTCAGTAATATCCATTTTTAAATTCTCAGATTGGTTTTTTTTTATAAATGGCTCCACGCTAGAATTTTCTTTGCTTAGTGCCTTTAATTTTTAGTATCTCGTACACAGAGTAGGTAAGATAAGCGCTGTTGTTGCGTAACCGGTGTCCTGGATTGAAGTATTATGAGGTTTTTGTTTTATCAGTACCTGACAAAAACCTTTGTAATAATACTTAAAACGTCTTTTTTAAGGGGGGGTCAATCATCGAATGACCGCTTCCGCCTGGGTGAGGTGGGAGGGAGTGTCAAATTCTTACTGACTAAAAACCACCCCGTTCCTACTCCTGCCTTAAATACGTCTAGAGTTGTACTGCCTCTAGTCTTCGTGTAATACCTAGACTTGTAAGAGTCCTAATATAGAGAACCTAAAGCATATAATTTACAAAATATTACCCCATTTCGGATTTATAACGTATGCACATATTGTACATTGCTTGATTGATGCATGCATGTATACAAAAATCTTTTTTTAAGGGGGGAAAATCATTCGATGACTTCTCTCGCCTTGGTGGATCGAGAGGGAGTATCAGACTCTTACTTACTAAAAACCGCCCAGCTCCTATTCTTGCCCTTCAAGCCGGAGCCCCGGCAACCCGGTGGCTCTTCCGCGGCTCTGATGTATAAAAAGAAAACCCTATATTGCTAACATCCTCAAGTCGTTTGCACCGTATGCTCTGTTCCTAAGTGTAATAGCGTAATGTTAAAATTGACGGTAATGAGTTTAATAACATCGCGAAAAGTAATAAACCTATCATTTCACAGATTCTATAAAATAATAAATTTTATTTAATTAAATTATTTATATTTGTTCATCGTATGTACTACTTTCGTGCGTAATTTCGTAGTCGTGCCGGCGTACCTTCCCGTCTGCCCGGAATAGAACCGGCGACCCGTCGCATCGAATTAGTGTGAAATGTTGAAAAACGCCTGAAGCGTACCGTAACGTGCCACAGACGTTGCCAGATGCCACAGACTATATGCTATTTAGTTGTGGAGAAAGGAAGTTCGATTATTTACTGATTGTTTTAATAAAAAATCAAGCTCTGATATATCTATGTACTAGCTATTGCCAGCGACTTCATCCACGTAGAATATGATGTTTAATCCCACGGGAGCATTTAATCGGGATAAAAATCCTATCACCTAAGTCAGGCTATACCCTGCCTGTATACCAAATTTCATCAAAATCCATTCAGTAGTTTCAGCGTGATTGATAAACAAACATCCAAACAAGGAAACTTTCGAATTACATTTGAATAAGTAGAGTAGTTGCAATGAACTAAGATACATTATACAATGATAGGTTCATTGGTAATTAAATAATATACACAAGTCAATAGATAAAAGCTTTTGTCCTATGAAAATCTACCCTAAACAAGTACAACAAAACTAAGGGGGACTTTTAACTTATTGTTCAGTTTACGATCTTCCTTGGTTAAGTGATTTTCAATGCGACTGCGCCAGCTTATGTATGAAGGTCTACAAAATTCACGTTTCTATTCATAGTAAACACAAGATCACAATAAAATATTATATTCATAGTTTTCTGGATCATACGTATAATTTGAAACAGCAGGGTTTTCATGAATTTATTACGAAAATAGGTGATAAAATTATTAATTTCATGACGATAGTTTACGATTTCTTTGAACCTGTTGAAATATTTACAATTCGAAGACGTATTTAATTGATTATTTACAAGGAATACACATTTTGAAATCAAAAACGATGTATAAAAACTTGGATTCCTTTGAAGCAAACGTTCTATATTCAAATGCAAACGCGCCAAGGTGTCATGGCGGCCATAATTGGGGATGACAGTTGTCGGCGGGAGCGTGCGCGACTCCGGCGCAAGACAGCTCGTTTGCGCCTGAGCATAACGAGACCGTACTAATCTTGTCTTGTTCTTCACTCTACAGTAATAATATAACTGATCAACATTAAAGAGAATTGTAATTTAATTTAAGATTTTAATGTCACCAATATTATTGTTGAGTTTCTGATAGATTTCTTGGCTCGAATGGTCGACGTCGTTTTGCTGAAGGTTTGCTTCCATGATTCATTCTAATATTATTTACGAAAAAAAAGACAGCAGCTGATATTGTCTTACAAAGAATTCAGAACGTTTACAGATTACCTATATTTGTTTTAAATAGAGTTAGAAAACCAGTAATTTGACCTAAAGAAAAACTTACTGAAATTGACCTAAAGAAGCAAATAGAGGAAGCTCAAATAAAACCGTTAAATGAAGCATAGGATCAGCTCAATTCAAGAATATAATTTGATGACTTTTGTCATGTGAAGAAAATTATGCATTTTAGAACATAGATGTGATAATCAGTATCGTCATCTAAGGGATCATCTGATCATCTTTATTCTTGTAGCTAACAAAAACAAAGCAACTACTGCATGAGATTTTCGCTCGACAAAAGCTCTACTGTTTTAAAATACCACCACAGTACAGTTTCGCGTTCAATTAAATAAAGTTCAAAACTGAAATATTATTAAACAAAACCAATAAATCATATTCAGCGTTAATTTGTGGAAGCGAGAGTTAGAAATGCAATAATAATTAATTTTGCCACGGTGTGGTCTAACCTGACGTGTTCATTTTGAGGGGATAGCGGCTCAATAATCCGTGAACATAGTCATTTGTCACTACATCATCCGGTGTGGTAGCCATGTATGCATGTGTTTTGGGGATAAACACAAATGTTGGGACCTCCCTATACGATATTGTGTTGTTGTTTTTATTAATGTTCGCTTATTGTCGTTGTTTGTAGTTCAGATTCATCCTCTAGGCTTGGTTTTAATTTTAGAAAAGCTTTACTACAATAAATAGTAAAAATACTGTTTACATAAGTTGGAAATTACCAACTGAAATGAATACCTAAAACTTAGTGCATTCAATATTTACATTCAATAAAAAAGTTTAGATATTGCAGTAATCTGAAACTTCTTTAATATTATGAGCTGTATATCTTAAAATCCCTAAAAGTATGGCGAGTGGCATGCGCGCACGCATGACAATTACCTCAAATCAGTGAAGCCATTACTCACGTCGCTTCCACGCAACACTTGGTCCCAACGATTAATTAAAGATACAATTTTAGCATTTACAAGAAAAATACTAACAATTAAACGTTGGACGCTAAGGGACGGCGTACCTAATGTAATTGATGATGGATTGTTAAAAAAAAAACTTTGTATTTTGAGTCCACTTTCTTTCATTTTCATTCCTTAGATGGTGGTCATATAAATAAACTAAGTAACTTCAAATACAGTACAGTTCTTTGTGTCACCGAACATAACCAAGTAAATAACTACATTCATAACATTAAACTCGATGGATGCACAGAAATTGATACTTATTTTAAATACATAACATAATACCACGCGTTTTATCCCCGAATGGGTAGGCAGAGGTAGGTACATTACGGCCCTTAATGTCACTGTACAACGTAACACCCACTTTTCACTATATATTTTTACACTTTCTACGTAATGCCTCTAATGTAATGTAAAGACTGCCTCGTTGGCCGAGTGGCCGCAAGTGCGACTGCCGGGCAAAGGGTCTCGGGCTCGATTCCCGGGTCGGGCAAAGTATTACTGGATTTTGAAAAAAAAATCTCAGCACAATACAATAGCACGGAGTCTGGCATTGTGCCCGGTAAATAGCAATAGGCTCATCCCCTATTACATTTTAAATACTTACCGAAGAATTAAAAAAAACCAACTTAAGACAATTACCCAAAAAACCGCAATAAGTATAAAAGTTGAAAAATATTTTGCACAAAAATAATTTATCACCGAAACTTAATTATTGGTTGCGGCCCATCGCCCTCCACTCTTGTGTTGACGTGTTCGTTAAATTAATGGGATTCTGTGCTAACGAGTCGTACGAATTGCGGCGCAAGCGCATCCGGAAGGATGCCATCACGGAGGTAGGCGCCATGTTGCAAAAAATATTAAGCTCTAATTTTATGCGTGTTGCTAGGTTTATAAAATATGTTTTGTGTATGGAAAAAAGGATCAGTTTACCGTTAGCCGTTAATTAGACGTAAAAATATATCTAAACACTGTCCGTCTTTTGTGCATATCGTCACTTCAGCTACCTATAATATCATATAAGCTGGAAGGCGCTAAAGCGCCCTAGACCCCTAGTGTAGACACTGGGTACAGTTTCTTAGCGTAATCTCCATTGTAGACACGTCAAAAAATTTTTTTAATAAATTCTTAGATTAATCTGAACATTAGCGAAAATTTGATGCATATAAAAGTTTACCCTAACCAAAATTTATGAATATAAGAAACTGCAAATAATTAAATCGGTAATAATAATTACTAAACGTCACAACAGCACGTCGTATTTTTTATGACAATCCCAAACTTAAAACTGTTTGTTTCAAATCCATCATAAAATAGTCAGTCATCGGTGCCGAAGTGGCTCGTAAGTCGTAAACCTACAAATAATTTCCAAGATAAAAATAATAGTTAATCAGATATTTCCTCAGGAAATTTGTAATTTGTGCTAGTTACTATAATCTTAATTAGAAACATTCGTACGAAAATAGTTTTGGTTCTTTGACGGCTAAAAAGTTAAATTTTTTATCTCGATAATGTCGTTAAACTTTGACACGTTTTTAGACGTACTTTAATCGTTTTTTTACAGTTTTAAGTGGCTGTCAGTGTGTTTCCAGTGGTTTCTGGTGTATCTACTCGTTTGTACGACGCCGAATCAACTCCCTTAGGGTTTTAAGTCATCTTCTTAATTGACACGCCCTTACCGTTGACATTTTTTGGCAACTCCTGTTAAGCTTTTTTGTTGCGGCTAGATAAGAATCTGTTAATGTGTTTAAAAAATATCCGAGATTTTTTTACTGAACGTACCATATTATCACGTCTGTCAAAAATGTACTTCCAGTTTATTTTTGGTTACAGTACCCTAAAACTAACCAAAAAAATACTGAACACTGACGCTGGCCACAAAGCCGAACTAAAAATTTCCAGTACCAAATCCGGTTCAATAGGAAAACATCTCATTCATTCAGGCTTAAAAAATCCCTCTTAGAAACAAAATGCTAGGCAATAGACTGATGTAAAAGAGCAAATACATCCTAGTAACATAATACCTTCAGCATGTTCCGTTGAATTTCCGCGAATCCTCATAAATAGCCGACCACCGCCGCGCCTGCGCAGTAGCGGTATCGCGGGGTATCGGTTTCATACTCCTGCGCATCGCTGTCGCCTTTACAGCTGTCAACAGTCGCGTCACTAGACCATGACCTGTCAAGGCTTAGTTATCGATTTCATTTATGAATGTGAATGTACTTGAATACTTAAGGACAATAGTACCTACCTATCTTTTTACTTAAAGACTAGGTGATCTACCAAAAACAAGAAGCAATCATGTACCAAACATTTCAGACTCTCTATAGAGAACTTAAAACTTAACAGGTGCTAATAATCGTCTTATAATTATAAAAATTTGCTTATTTTCTTGTAAGAGTACCGCAATAACCACATTCTAAAGCAATTAACTTAACCATCAAAACACGAACATTATTACAAACTTCAGCACTCATTCATTCTTGTAGTTAAAACCTAATAAATTTGATTAAATCAGCGCCCGTTGCGTTTAAATCTTAACAATTTCAAAGAGTCGAAATTTGTCCTGACAAAATTTACTGCGACAGTGTAGGTACGCGCGGCGCAGGCGCATGATTCGTCGAGATCAAAGCTTAGACGCACCGTCATGTGTTCCCGACAACATGTAGGTCGCCGTAGCCCCTCGGGAGCACTTACAAAAAGTCAGCTTGTATGTTTTGTAAATAATATCTTATTGGCCTCTTGGTTTCTTTTGCTTGTACGGACGCCGGCACCGACATTTTTGTGTGCTTTTTATTCAGATGTTGGTAACTTAATAAGCTCAATTGAGTCAACCGCTACGTCTCAAGAAATGTGGACAAAACTTTGTTGCGTTAACATTTTTTTTCTTTGTCATAGCATTAGCATGTGATATCCTTACTAATATTATAAATCGGAAAGTGAGTTTGTTTGTTCCGCTTTCACGCCGTAACTACTAAACCGATTGCTTTGAATTTTTACAGACGTAAAGTTAGAAGTCCGGATTAAATAATAGGGTACTTTTTATCCCGGAAAAATGTCATATTCCTGAGGGAAAACAAATGTATTGGTATAGATGGCGCTGTGTGTATTGGTATATGTCACATAGGCTACTTTTTATCCTTTTGCGACGCGAGCGAAGCCGCGGGTAAAAGCTAGTAAGATAATAAAATAACAATTTCAATAAAACCAGATATAATAGTTGTATAAGCAATTAAGCATGTATTAAATTCGATATCGATTGAAGTAGTGATATGAAAGATTTGAAGTTGTTAATCCCATGCGCCTGGGCAGTTATAATGTCTGTTGATACGAAGCCAGTCTTTGTCCGTAACGAACAGACGTTGTCCCATTTGACCTTCGTGTTTCTGTAAAGAAAACAGTTAAAATAAAATAAATAATTTAAAAATTTAATTGAGAATTAAGGACAGACCTTTATAAAGGAATCGACATGTTTGAATGTCAACAAACAAATTTGGGGAAGTATAATCTGTTTGCAATCAATTTGTATTTTACACTTTCATACAGCAGTTTAATTTCTTTTTTTGTTTTCATGGTGACTTCAAACGTTGTATTTTTAAACATGAAACTAATAACTACCATTATTTAAGAATAATGAATTCGTTTTCTTTCAACCGCATTTCTGAATTGCAATGGTACAATAAAATTATAGCAAGTAAGAATTAAATCGAGCTGCAACGTTCTTTGATAAACCTGATAAATTTAATTTGTGATCTCCATCTCGTTTGTCAGGCGCTGAACTTATGGCAAACCCCTGTATTGTAGAGGCCTATAATTTTATTATAATCAACAGCCTATAAGTGGCCACTGCTGACCAGAAGCCTCTTCTTGCACGGAGAAACTTTAAGCATTTATCACCACGCTTGCTCAATTGACGATTTCAAAACTTATAATTAAAAATTATAAGCGATGCTTTCCTTCACCGTTTGTCTATACTTTGCTTATATTTAGCAGTGAACTATCATAAACTGTTGATGATGACGGTGACTCTACCTAACATAACATCACGCCTTTTATCCCCGAAGGAATAGGCAGAGGTGCACATTATGCCACTGTACACTGTACACTTTTCACTATTTTATGTTACGAGTCCCATGTAGTAGGGGATGAGTCTATTGCCATATACCGGGCACAATGCCAGACTCCGTGCTACTACTGAGATTTTTTTTAAAACCCAGTAATACTTTGCCCGACCCGGGAATCGAACGGGACGGAGAGTTTGTTGAAAATAATCATGGTTGTAATGATTAAAGTATACATACTTGCAGTGCCTCTATAGTCGGCTCTCCGTTGACAGAAAAGGCAAAAGCAGTGTAGTGCAGACAGCTTACATAGTCGTATTCAATTCCCAAATTGTCCACTCTTGATATATCGTGCTTGTTGAAATTGTGTTCAGTGCCTGAAAAGTGAAAATATTTAACTACAAAAACAAAGATGGCTAGTTGACGCAAAAATATTAAATCTATTCACGATCACAGGTCGGTACCTATTCGACAAAAAAGACAAAAATGATGTTTAAAAAAATATTGGTTTGAACTAGTTGCCTATTTGATTAATTCCGAATTCCATTGCAACAATAAAAATAGTTACATTACCCTAAGCATCAGTAATTATACAAGTATAATGAAAATATTACTTTCTTTGTCATACACACCTGGCCTGATATTTTCTTCATGAATCCTGACATAATCGTCCCGATCATGAGTGGAATGCATATGACGGAATCCCAAGATATGCATGAACTCATGCACTATAGTAGCATGTCTAAAGCAACCGACTCCAATTTCATTGCGAGCCAAGTTCATTGTATGGGCTCCTCGTGAAGGCCTGTAACCTATGTGGGCAGAGCAACCCGTTGGTCTTCCCTGGAATTTTAAATGAGATAAATTTTATAATATAGGTACGTAACCGCTTTGTACTCATAGGTACCTGCTATAAAAATTTCAAATGTTTTTAATAAAAAAACGAAGATTATTCCTATAGTGGAAGGAAATATTAAATAAGGCTTATTACGCAAATTCGAATTTTAAATGAGTTAATTTTTATAATATACGTAACCGCTTTGTACTCATAGGTACCTACTATAAAAATTTCAAATGTTTTTAATAAAAATCGAAGTTTATTCCTATAGTGGAAGGAAATATTAAACAAGGCTTATTAAGCAAATTCAAACTTTAACCCATTTGTCTGATGAACCTTTATTCTGTGATAATCCGTCGATAAAAGTACTCCATCGCGATGGAGATAAAAGTAACCCAAAAAAATGACTACCCACAAAAAATGTTATAACAAGTCCTGTATACATTTTTTCCTGTACTTACAGTAAGATTCACATAAACATCATCCCATTCTTTCCTATATCTGAATTTGACACATGTATGAGCCTCGATATCTCTAACGCCCTCCCAAATAGCTTCCTTCTGTTCATCGTCTGCAAATGAAGATATTAAAATTATGTTTTAATCTGCGTAAACCCTGCTTCGACCATCTGAAACCGACTCGACTAAAGTAATATTACGGCTATATTTAAAGCTTGCGGTTTCCCATGTGACTGAACTCACTGGAGCCTCCCAATGGCCAGCAAAGTACTTGTGCCTCTAAAGCAGTCTTTGGGCGGTGCTGATTGCTTACTATTAGGAGATCTAATAAGAAAAGTCTTTTACAATTGTTGCGGCTAGCTAGCTGACACCGTGGCAGGACTTTGAGAGAATAAAAAACGAAAACATGTTTGCCTTTGTAATAATGAGTAGCTATAATCAATGATTCTAGATAAAAATTCTCGATTCGGTTAGATTCGATATGTTAATCGATTTCAGTATATTAACAAACAATGCACTAGGTATTATTGAGAACGCATTAGATAATATCTTTGATAATAAATACATGATAAATTGGTAGCAATTTGTTAATACTGTCAACTGCTATCTGTTACTAATATTATCTCAAAAATAATTAATCAAAAATTGCACAATACATGAAATTTCCATTATTTTTTTCATTATCTATGAATCGTATTAAAATTATCTGAATTTTGTATTTTTAATGACATAATAGGTACGGGTCATTAAGTAGAGATTCATGGTGACATAGAGCTGATTTTGATGGTAAAGTTACGTGTCCCCAAACTTATATCCGATATAAAGGTCTAGCTACTTCCGCGCGGTTTCACACGCTCTGCTCAGCTCCTATTGGTCGTAGCGTGATGTTTTATAGCCTATAGCCATCCTCGATAAATGCGCTATCCAACACAAAAATAATTATTCAAACCAAACTTGTAGTTACGGAGATTAGCGCGTTCAATACAAACAAACAAACAAAAAAGAAACTTCCGTTTTATATAATAGTATAAGATACTAATTTCTATTTAAAGTTAATTCTAATAAAATTATGTAATAAAATTATGTATAGAGCATTAGTACGTTTTAAAAAAGTGTAGGTACCTAACGAACTAAGTCATTACAGCTAGAACTGGTATTGATTTCAAAAAATAGTGATACTTAATTCTTACGAAATATTTTTCTAACATAAAAAGCATCAAAATCCGTTGTCCACTTACTGAATTCTCCTTCTCCGAATTGGAAGATAACGGTGTCATCGGGCCAGGTGGAAATGTCCGGTGAGGTGTACGCATTGCGACCAGCAGCATACTCTTCTACCATCAACTCATAATCTTCTTTATCCAGAACTATGTCACCCTGGTACATGCCGCTCAGCTCCTCAACATTCGCGAGGGGGAATGCATTCCTTTTTGCTTCGAATTGTGCTTCATCTTCATTGCCTGGGTAAAAAAAGTAAATATAGATTTATTGTCATAGTTTGTAGTTAAGGGACTGAATGTCTATCGAAAATATAAAAATACATAGTATACTCAATCACTCACCTGTACGGTAAATCGTGTGAATTAAAAAGTCAAAGCATTTATTTCAATTAAACCATAATTTAGTACTTTTAAACGTCCACAAATACAAAATAAATAATAGTCTGTCAGTCAGTCCGTCAGTGAAGCTAGGTGAAGCTAGGTGCTCATTCCAAAATGTAGATTCGAATGGAGAAGAACGAGCAAGAAACTCCATTCGTTCCTCTTTTTAAAAAAATATGTTCTACAATGTCTCTGATACATATTCTAATACTGTACGTATATGTGAGAACAATGCAAAGACACGCTTGATGCATTATACGCATAAAACAATAAGTAAGAATATTTTTAAAGCAATTCAACAAAACTAGATAAAACCAAAAAGTATATCTCAAATTCCACATACCTCTACGGACTTCGTCTAAAAACTGTTTGAAGGCTTCAATTTCCTGCCTGCTCCTCGTCACAGCGGGGCTGGCTTTCGACAAGCTGAATACAGCAAATAATATAATAAGTCGCAACATGTTGTATCCTGGGATCCCGTCACAGTGCACGGACTTATCTCTCACCATAGTTTTATAATGAAGCAAATTATCTTTATCTATTTAGATAATAATAAGATATAATTAATCTATTTTTGAATGTCCAACTGAAATGTCACTAATTACGTTTGTAACAACATGTTTAAAAAACTGAATTCTGAATTGAATGAGTATTTTAGTTGTGACTAGGTTCTGTCAGCGACTTCGCTTACTATCCCAGGGGTAAAACGAGCGTTCCGCGCGCGCCTCAAAGAGCCATCAGACCACCACAGATGGGGCCCAATAGGGCTGATGCCAATTCGGAGTCGCGAAGAACCTAACGGGTAACCGGGGCTCCGGCTCGACGTGCAGGAGAAGGAACGGGGTGGTTTTTAGTCAGTAAGAGTATGACACTCCCTTCCGCCTCACCCAGGTGGGAGCAGTCATTCGATGATTTTCCCCCCTTAAAAAAAAAGAAAATCCCTGGGGTAAAAAGCCTATGTGTTAATCCAGACCACAATCTACCTATGTTCCAAATTTCATTCCGATCCCTTCAGTCGTTTTGCTGTGACTGAGTAACAAACATACACACAAACAAACACATAAACTCACATATTTTCACATTTATAATATCGTTTCAAGCTAATTTCAACCATCGGCCCTACAGTTACAGCGTAAAGTCCACTACGGGCAATCTTACATTCGAGAAACTTATGCGTTTGGGACAGTAATAATGTTATCTTTTTTTAATTATGGATGAGTGAGAGTATTAACTGCTAAGCTATCGGGAGTTACCCGTGTTATTGTGAGTCAACCATAAAAGATACACATATTATGTTGTTGTGAGATATTTTTTACATAATTTTATGTATAACATTTACGTCATACATGATTTCTATGTAGCTTTAACTATTAAGGATGCACACTCGAAAGCTTAAAAAAAATTAAAACAGCGTTTAAAACACCGACTTCAAAAAAGCAAATACTAATAACATACAAAAAGTCTAAACTAAAAAGAAAAAAATAACTATTATTAGTACTGATAGGATACCCACTGATAGGTTAGAAGTTAGCGCCTCCTCATCCTTTTTTTATTGAAGACGGTAAAAATGGAATAACTTCTCCTTCCCAACAGTTACCTTCACTTTGCCTCTTCTTCTATTCCCCCTGTATTCCAAATTGTACTGTTATAGCCAAAAGAGCTTTTATTGATATTTTTATAACGTCTTTTGTTTGTATTCCTATTATTGTTAATTTTGTAAAAATTTCTACTAAGGCTGGTTTTAGTCTTGTGCTGACCGTCGGCGCTGGCAGCCGCAATATATGATCTTCTAGGAACCGTGGGCGCAGATATCTACGCGTCATTCAAAAACGCTTCCTTGAAGTTATATATCTCAGCCAATCAGCGCTGACGGTGCGCGTGCCGTCAGCCTCAGACTAAAACTAGCCTAAGGAAGAGCGGGGCCTAGCACAGTCTCCTAACACAGGCACATCTTGCAGATCCCCAAGTGGTCACCGGTGACCGCTCTCCACTACCTACATTATAGACCTTTTTTCCAATGTTTAGAGACTACTTTTGTATGAACAAATTTAGGGGATGAATTTCAACGGGTTAACCCTTTGAGTACCGTCATTATAGACACAATTAAAGAACAATAGGTTGCGTTAACCGGTGTCCTCGCGGTGTTTGACAGTTTAAAAGGAGTCCCCAAGCACGATCACCCAATGTAATCACAAATTACTGTTCTGCTCCTATAGATTGTAGCGTGATGAAACATATATTATAACCTCCCCAGGAGTATAAAGAATAATTGTACCAAGTTTCGTTAAAATCCGTCGAGTAGTTTTTGTTTCTATGAAGAACATACAGACAGACAGACAAAAAATTTACCGATTACATTTTTGGCATTAGTATCGATCACTAATCCCCTCTCAATAGTTATTTTGGACATATATTTCATGTACAGAATTTACCTTTCTATAGATTTATTATAAGTATAGACAGAAATAGGATCCAGAATGTCTAACTAAATAATGATAATAAGCGGTGTCAACAAATATTATCAATATTACCATTATTATTTGGTGTTCCCCATGTGTCATTCTTAGGACCTACGTTGTTTTTTATATTAATAAATTTATGCAAAATGTTAATGCAAAATATTAAGAGTCTGCAATTTTTTTTCAATCGTTTCATTAAAAATATAATTATTATTACCGTAGCATAATCTAAAGGTCTTCGCGTACGTAATGACATTAAAATTCAATGTCGAATCATTTCAATCGATTAGACCAATAAATAATATCACTTATGAAAATCAAACAAATTATTTATTGATAAAAATGTTTGTCTATCGATATCGGCGCACTTGCCATCCCAATAAGATTTTTAAATTAATTAGCATGACAAACTATTTTAATATAATGTATCTTTAGGTTTTTCCGTAATGTAACTAGCGTAATGAGCCAAACTAAGTAAGGACTGCACGGTTGGTGCGGTGACTGGGCTGCCGTGCAACGTGTCGCGGGTTCGATTACCGTACGGAACAACACTTTGTGTGATCCACAAATTGCTGTTCCAGGTCTGGGTGTCATGTGTATGTGAAATTGTATGTTTGTTAACGCACCCACGACACAGGAGAAAATCCTAATGTGGGACACCGATTCTTTTTAAAAATGAGGAGACAAAAAAAACACAATCCAGCAGCACTGGAATATTTCGTTGGGACTACTAAATAGAAGGAGTGTAGGGGTTATGACGATAGCATAACCTACTTAGCAATTATTATTCCTTTGAATAAATGTGCGTCGCGCACTGCTTAAAAAGAAATGTAAATATGAACATTTCTTATTGATAGTTCCCTTACATATTCATAAATAGACTAGCTACTTCCGCGCGGTTTCACACGCTCTGCTCAGCTCCTATTCGATTATTTCTATTCCTCGATAAATGCACTATCCAACACAAAAAGACTTGTAGTTACGGAGATTAGCGCGTTCAAACAAACAACAAACTCTTTCGCTTTATATATATAATAGTATAAGATAATATAATAATAAAATTATGTATACATGAATTGAAGATAACGAAAGAAGTATACAGACCGTATATGAATGGGGCCGTCGGTAGAGGGCGCCCTAGACAGACATATAATGATCAGATTGGCGATATATTAAAGAAGGGCCAAATTAAAACTACCGTTAACCAACGAGCATGCATGAAAAGATTGATGACGATTGATGTAGCGAAAGAAGTATGTAGAAATCGTAGTAATTGGCATTCAATAGTCTCTGCCTACCTCTTGGGAGTTAGGCGTGAAGTTATGTACCTATGTACGAAGATTTCTTTCATATATTGACATAACTATCAAATCATTGAACATTATTTGTAAACTTCTTAGACCTCGTGAATATCGGAGTCGCGGAGAACCTAACGGGTAACCGGGGCTCTGGCTCGACGTGCAGGAGAAGGAAAGGGTTGGTTTTTAGTCAGTAAGAGTCTGACACTCCCTTCCGCCTCACCCAGGCGGGAGCAGCCATTCGATGATTTTCCCCCCTTAAAAAAAAAGACCTCGTGAATTAAAAATTTACAGCAATATGTTGCTAAAGACCTTATATCGCCTGGTAGTTTTGCAAAGCAAATATAAGTATCGCAAGTCTGCAATCTGCTACCACTGTTTTCTTAGGCACCCAAGTGATTTAGATGGATGAAGATAGCTACCTTTTGCAGCTGCAAATATTGGATTAATTGCGGTAGTTTACAACAGCCGGATCGATCGATGATGATGGGCGTTTTACAGTAGATACAAGGACCAAAATATAGTAAAGTATCGGAATCAAAGGAAAAATTTAGTCTTTTGAGCATACCACACCAAAGTTAACAGCTATTGGTAAAAATGTAGTGTTTTTTTTTTAAGGGGGAAAAATCATCGAATTACTTCTCCCGCCTGGGTGAGGCGGAAGGGAGTGTCAGACTCTCACTGACTAAAAACCACCCCGTTCCTTCTCCTGCACGTCGAGCCGGAGCTCCGGTTACCCGTTAGGTTCTCCGCGACTCCGAATCGGCAACAGCCCTATTGAGCCCCATCTGTAGTGGTCTGATGGCTCTTTGAGGCGCGCGCGGAACGCGACGCGCCGTACGCTCGGGTCTGTTTTTGGTCGGACGGGGAGCCACCCATGCTCGCCGTCCGCAGTCCCGCGCTTACGGTCGGAGATCGTCCCGCGATACCCGAAGCCCGGTGTGTCCTTCGCGATGGCTGGGTTGCGAGGAGGCAGCGCTTCGCTGCCTCACGCGTCCCGCCTCCTCCTTAGGTAGCATGACTGCTTCGCAAAAGGAGGAGACGGCATCCCAGTCCCCCTCGCTCCGCATCATGGCCTGCACTAGGCCCGGACGCGAGAGGTCGCCATCGCCGATCACTTCCCTGAGGGCACGGCGGTGCTCAGCCCACGCAGGGCATTCTCCCACTGTGTGTACCACCGAGTCCTCAGGGCGGTAAAAATGTAGTGTAGGGTACAAAAATGTGTGTTGGTGAAGAATTCACTGTGATGAGCGTTTAGTGGTCAAGGGTAATAATTATGCAAAATCATAATGTGGAATGTTCAGGCACATTTTCTGCACCCATAATTAGGCATTCAAATTAAAAATGGTCGTAGGTATAAAATTATGTATTTAAATAATATTAATTAATAAATTATAAAATTCGTAACTATCTTAAAAGTTAAAACTAATTAAGTGTGATCATTTTAGTTCCATGCGCCTGGGCAGTTGTAGTATCTGTTAATGCGCAGCCAGTCTTTGTCTGTGACGTATACACGTTGTCCCATCTCTCCTGTGTGTCTCTGCAAAGATATACAGGAACTCAATCAACAAGGTCAATAATAGGGATGATGACATAGTATGGAAACTAAAAATCTAATTAGTCCGTCAGTTAGGTTATGAAAAAATATTAGACACGTATTTATTTATTTTGTCGTATAATAAAATGATACTTAGATAAAACAAATCAAAGTTTAGGAGTGGGGGCTAAAACGTCATTTCTACGTATAAAAGGTACATAGAAGTGACGTCACGCGACATTTCAAATCAATATATCATCGAAAGTATTCGTTTTTTTTTAAAAATACGTGTGTAATGTTTTAAAATAATCTACCAGACGGACATTAAAATAAAAATTAGTCATCTACACTATTCAAAGTTAGATTGCATACTTAAATAAATTATTATTAAAAGACATTTTTCTGGTAAAGCACATTGATTTTAACCGATGTCAAAAAACAGATGTTCTTGGTTTGACCTGTATATACCAATTGATGTGGTTTTCAGAAAATTGTTTAGAGCAGGTTTTAGTATAACCGACTTAATTACATGCAACTTGAGGAAATTGCAAGGGTTTTTAGCAAAACCTGCCTCGTTGCCAGAGTGGTCGCAAGTGTGACTACCAGGCAAGGTGTCTCGGGTACGATTCCCAGGACGGGAAAAGTATTACTGGGTTTTTAGAAAAAAATCTCAGTAGAGCACGGAGTCTGAATTTGTGCCCGATATATGGCAATAGGTTCACCCCCTATTTTATGGGACTCATAACATAAATAGTGAAAAGTGGGTGTTACATTGTACACTGGCATTAAATGCCGTAATGTGCACCTCTGTCTAATAAAAAGTTATGTTATGGTTTTACTGCGATTTTTTAAATATTCGTTTGATTAAAAATAATGATTGTAATGTTACATACATGTAATGCCTCGATAGTCGGTCGTCCATTAGCTGTGAACGCATAGGGACCGTAGTGGAGGCAGCTCACATAGTCGTAGTCTACTCCTAAATTATCCACTCTTGACTCTTTATATATGTCAAAGTTGTGTTCACTGCCTGGAAATTAATATAAAGTAGCATTAAAAGAGACTCTGAATTAACCTAGTAAATAGTTATATAAATTAATACTTTATAACTGTGTATAAGAATATAATCTCATTCTTGTGAGATATTATTTTCGCGAAATATTGACTGAAGGAAGGGTGAGAAGGGTCTCGCGAGTAAACGAAAGTTTAAAGGGTGGGAGAGCCATGCTTCGGCACGAATGTGCCGGCTCGACCGGAGTGATACCACGGCCTCACAGAAAACCGACGTGAAGCAACGCTTGCGTTATGTTTCGTCGTGTGAGTGAGGTTACCGGAGGCCCAATTATCCTCCCCTTCCCCAATTTCCCCAATTCCTGGTTCCCCAACGATCCTCAAACTCCTAATCCCCAACAGGCCGGTAACGCACTTGTAACGCCTCTGGTGTTTCAGGTGTCCATGGGCGACGACGATTGCTTACCATCAGGTGATCCGTCTGATCGTTCCCAACTTATGCCATAAAAAAAATGTAGAACAGTATGTTATGAATACATACCTGACACGACGTTTTGTCCATTAATTCTGACGAAATTGTCACGGTTGTGTGTAGACTGCATATGGACGAAGCCGAGGATATGCATGAACTCATGCACGATAGTGGCGTGCCTGAAGCACCCTGAACCAACGCTGGCACGAGCCAAGTTCATTGTATGGGCCCCTCGGGATTCCCTGTAGCCTACGTTAGCGTAGCAACCGTCTGCTACCCCCTGAAAAACAAGCAAGGTAAATTCTTTCTTATTCAAGCAATAATAGCTTTCTAGTTTTTTTTTAATGAGGAAAATCATCGTATGGCTTCTCCCGCCTGGGTGAGGTGAGAGGGAGTGTCAGACTCTTACTGACTAAAAACCACCCCCTTCCTACTCCTGCACTTCGAGCCGGAGCCCCGGTAACCCGGTTAAGTTCTCCGCGGCAATCGCTTTCTAGTTTAAGATAATGATAATGACATGATATTAAACTTAATTATATCGAGTTAGGACTCGATTAAATAATAGGTAAGTGTTTTAATAGCTTCAATAAGATAACTGTAAATATGTTGGTCATGACAAATCCCGAAGTAATTATTACAACAACATCAACTATAGTGTTTACTGAACTAAAAGTGTCCTAAACCTGTGGAAGTAGAGCAGGAGTGGTAAAATAACTGTTCTCTACTCTGTCATCAGGCCCATACGGCTTATATTTGTTTATCACAATAAACCTTAATTTATAACATAACATAACATCACGCCTTTTTATCCCCGAAGGGGTAGGCAGAGGTGCACATTTCGGCACTTAATGCCACTGTACAATGTAACACCCACTTTTCACTATTTATGTTATGAGTCCCATGTAATAGGGGGTGAGCCTATTGCCATATACCGGGCACATTTTTCCAGACTCCGTGCTACTACTGAGATTTTTAAAAACCCAGTAATACTTTGTCCGACCCGGGAATCGAACCCGAGACCCCTTGCCCGGCAGTCGCACTTGCGACCATTCGGCCAATGAGGCAGTCATTCATGAGTCAGTCACCTTAATTTATGTGTATAAATATTCGTATGTATACGTATATTATGTGATTTTTATAGACGGGATTCTCCTATATCTATTGGCCTAATAATTATCTCATATCAAACAATACTTTAAGCTGGTATATCTCACTTAGGATTATGTTACTTTACTCAGCTTTGTTTAATATCCATTTTATCTTATTTTATTGGATTTTTTTATTACTTACAGTGAGTTTCACGTAAATAGGGTCTGATGCTGTCCTGTATCTGAATTTGACGCACGTGTGAGCTTCGATGTCTCGTGCAGCATCCCAAATTGCTGCCTTCTGTGCATCATCTGTAATCAAATAAAATTAGGTGTTAAATACATTTTTTTTTCTTTAATAAAAACGTTGCCCCACACTAGGACTTTCTCCTATGTCGTGGGTGCGTTTACTAACATACACCCGACCCGAAACAAGAATTTGTGTTACACAAAGAGTTGTTCCGTGCGGGAATCGAACCCGCGACACGTTACGCATCAGCCCAGCCACCGCACCAACCGTGCAGTCACTATTTCAAAGTCAATACTTCACAGGACGAAGAAAAAATGGAACAGTCATCATTATTTTAATTTTTAAATCGTTATAACTTTATTGTGCATAAAACTAGAAACCTGAAAATTCATTTTAATTAATCAGTATTTAATCTAGCATGTGTCAAGAAAATCGTTTCTAGGAATAAATAGTAGGCAATCTTGATATCTAAATTCAGTTTGAATTTATTAATAAACAGTGCAGTTATTGAGAACGCATTTCGTTTGCACATTATCGATTACAATCGGTTAAAGATACCGATTGATATCGATATTTAAGTTCATGTTTATTTGCAATATTGTAGTGATAACGTGACAATGATCTTGATTGTTAAATGATAATGTATTTTCATTGAAAGTGAATCAGTCTAGTGACACATTTGTTGTGGTTACAGATAACTAATCCTTTCTTTCATCTTTAAAATCACGACTGCATTTTTAAATGCAAAAAATAAAATGGCGGTGATGTATTTTTTATTAACTTCAACATAAATATGTTTTATGCATAAGGTATCTGGTATGTATTTCAAAGATATTGAGATTTGCAAGCATTTTTATCATTAATAAACATTTCGTCACCCTTATCTTTCTATTAGTAGGTTAGTGACATTTTATTGGGCTTACAGTCTTAGTAATAAAATAATATAATTCTAAGTGAGTAATAAAATGATTAAAATTAGCGGAAAATCTATTTCCTCTATTAGTCGGCAAAGTACTAGGTAAAAATTTGAAGTAATCATGACGAAATATATTCTTAATTATTGGGATCATTTAAATCATGGACATGCTTTCTCTTTCTAATACCTTTTTCGTCGTCTCCTAACCTCCGTAGTAAAAAAAAACTAAAAAACGATAGTTATGGTCTATGGTCTATTCAGCATTCTTTAAGTAGTAATGGAGACACATGTTAGAAATCTTAAATATCCCATCCCAAAGTTATGGTCAAACTGGGATTTTATTATTCCTTTTTATTATTTACGGCCATTATCTAGCAAAACATACAAAAACTTGATGTACTTCTACTTACTGAATTCTCCATCTCCAAATTCGAAGATAACAGTGTTGTATGGCCAGGTCGTGATGGTGGACGTGGAGTACGCATTGCGACCTATCGCGTACTCCTGTAGCATCACCTCATAATCTTCTTCATCCAGAACTATATCACCCTGGTACTTGCCGCTTAGTTCCTCGACATTCGCGAAGGGGTGCGAAGTCCTCTTCACTTGGAATTGTACTATATTGTCATTGCCTGGTAATACAATACAGATTATATTTAAAAAAATAAAAAATTACTAGTGTTGGACTAAATTGGATAATTTACTGTCGTGCTGTTGTGTGTTCGTAATTGTTAGGGCCAGATTTGTATAAATAGAAAAGGAGGGAAGAAGATTAGTCACAATCACCGGGAATATCGGGTACCAGCCTCTAGGCCATACTGGGGCGCACTACTAGTTTTCTATAAAAATCTGTTTATGGCAGCTTCGATGGTATGGTTAATATTATGTAGATGGGTAATGTAGATGTAGATAAGTACCATTATACCATTTTATTACCATTAAAAAACATCTTAGGACAAAAGAGATGTTATAAAATTAGAATGTTTTAAAGTTTGTTTATCGTATCTTTCAATCTAAGATTAAGATACACAGATTGATTTTGTTTACACACAAAGTCTAGTCTCTTGTTGCATCTAAATGCATTGTGAGTTTTATCTTAAGGACATTTACAATACCATTTTCAATAACAAACAAAAAGGCGGGAAAGAAAATCAGAGAAAAAGGTGAATGACCATAACTAATGCTAATGATTTCAAATAAAGAACTTTATTTTGATATACTTGTTGGTACCAAAATATATTTAAAAAAGGTAAGGTTTTTGTAGGTAAAAATGTATTTAAAAAAACTAAAACCTTTTTTTACAACACAAAGGTGGCAAAAAAGCACACGGCCCTCCTGATGGTAAGTGGTTACCGTAGTACTTAATGCTTGCAATACTTGGGTAGCATATTTTTCTGGACAAGTTTAAAAAATCCATAGATGAAAAATAAATCTCAAAAATTCTATATACCTCTACGGATTCCATCTAAAAATTGTTTGAAAGCTTCAATGTCTTGTCTAGTCCTCGTCACAGCAGGACTGGCTATCGACAAGCTGAATACAGCAGCCAATACAATAAGTCGCAACATTTTGTATCCTGGGATCCCGTCACAATACTTGGACTCGCCCACCGTCCTGGCTTTATATTCAAACAAATTATCTGCATCTATATAGATAACCGATCGATTTTATCAATTTACAACTCAAACTATTGTTTATTATTATTGTTTTTTTTAGGTATTCAGGTTTTCTCGTAGATTTATTGTTTTGATAATTAAGATGGCGTAGTTGATAGGCTAATTAGGGCAGTCAGTCGCTTTGTAGTAAGACAATTGATTTGAGTGTTTGACTAAGTAGTTATAAATGTATTTCTTGACGGTTACTACTTATTTAGTAAAATGATGAAAAAGTGATGCTGTAATTGACTGGTGTGGTATTATTTATGGTAAAGGAGGCCACACGAAACTATGCCCACACTCACAACATAGGTAGTAAAGTTAAAGGTTTACCTTATGGTATGATCAAATTGGTAAATGGTCTCACTACCATTAAAAAAGATGAAACCGAGGTAAGCAAAGCGCAAGCACTTTTTGGCCGATTGAGCCGCTTCATAGAATTAAATTAAAAATTCAATGTATAAGTATTAATTACTCTTTTTGTGCTACTGACTCGCCGGTTGAGTCTACGATTTGTACACCTACGAGATTGGGCTCGCTGCCATTGCAGCGGTAAGACCCCTCTTTGAGGAGTGGCTTGAGAGACGCTACGGCGTCCTCACCTACCGCCTGACGCAGGTCCTCACCGGACATGGAAGTTTCGGGAGGTACCTGTGTCTGATGGGGCGGGAGGAAACGCCCGGGTGTCATCACTGCGAGGACCGCCCTGAGGACACGGTGGAACACACCGTAGCGGAATGCCCTGCGTGGGCTGAGCACCGCCGTGCCCTCAGGGAAGTGATCGGCGATGGCGACCTCTCGCGTCCGGGCCTAGTGCAGGCCATGATGCGGAGCGAGGGGGACTGGGATGCCGTCTCCTCCTTTTGCGAAGCAGTCATGCTAGCTAAGGAGGAGGCGGGACGAGTGTCGCAACCCTGCCATCGCGAAGGACACACCGGGCGTCGGGGATCGCGGGACGATCTCCGGCCACCGTAAGCGCGGGCCTGCGGACGGCGAGCATGGGTGGCTCCCCGTCCGACCAGAAACAGACCCGAGCGTACGGCGCGTCGCGTTCCGCGCGCCCCTCAAAGAGCCATCAGACCACCACAGATGGGGCCCAATAGGGCCGATGCCGATTCGGAGTCGCGGAGAACCTAACGGGTAACCGGGGCTCCGGCTCGACGTGCAGGAGAAGGAACGGGGTGGTTTTTAGTCAGTAAGAGTCTGACACGCCCTTCCGCCTCACCCAGGCGGGAGCAGTCATTCGATGATTTTCCCCCCTTAAAAAAAACACCTACGAGATTAACGGAAAGCCGCTGCTACGTTCTACAAACTCCTCGCTACGCACTACGATCTACGCGCTACGCCCAACGAACTACGCGTTACGCCCAACGAACTACGCGCTACACCAGACGGACTACGCGCTACGGACTACGAGCTACGACTATAGTATTTCGCCGCAACTTAAATATAAATTAGAGCTTCTATAATAGACTAGCTTCTGCCAACAATTTTGTTCGCGTAGACTGGCGAAAGCGTACATTTTTTGCTCTTATTTCTAAATTAATATGATACCCTACATGTTGCCCGGCTACACACGTATTGTGGCTCATAATGATGAATAACCAAGTTCACGTGACTGCAATAACATTATCATATGTGTATTGCGAAGCAAAAAGTCCGAGCTTGTAACGTAAGAGTCATCAGCATTTTCAAGGAACTTGAACAAATCAAACAAATCAATTATGGCTAAATTGCTTGTTTTTGTTTTTATAGGTCATCATCATGTTTGTTAGGAAATCATTCTATTTATGATTTCAGTGATTGCATTTTGTTTGTTGTTACTTTGACAGATATAAATCAAAAATAAATAATCATCAATTAATCATGTCTCGTTTGATTTTATCGTTTAGTCATCTTTGTGGGTGAAACAAGTAAATTTATTTTTGCAATTTGCAAATTGATACAAAATAGCTCATTTAGGGCCGAAATACATAACCGCGTTGCGTCGCCGCAACGCTAAAATCGGCAGTTTGCGTTGCGGTGCGTTGCGGCGTTGCGGTGTCGTGAAAAAGAGCGTTTTGTTGTCGTTCGGTAGGGTAACCAGTTCGTCGTGATTTTTTATTGTGGATAGACGTGTCTCTGCCGTGGACCATCGTGAAAAAATTATTGCTTATTTGTTATTAAGAAAACATTACTCTGCTATACTAGAACGAGCGCTACGTTGCGGCGGCGCCGCGACGCCGCAACGCAAACTGCCGATTTTAGCGTTGCGGCGACGCAATGCAGTTATGTGTTTCGGCCCTTACACGTCAATAAAAAGTTTTTAGTGTGGTTTGCCATGCTTCGGCACGAATGGGCCAGCTCGACCGGAGTGATACCACGGCCTCATAAAAAATCGACGTGAAGCGACTCTTGCCTTGTGTTTCGTCGTGTGAATAAGGTTACCGGAGGTCCAATTACCCCCCCCCCCTTCCCCAATTTCCCCAATCCCTGAATCCCCAACGATCCTCAAACTCCTAATTCCTAACAGGCCGGTAACCCACTTGTAACGCCTCTGGTGTTCCAGGTGTCCATGGGCGACGCCGATTGCTTATCATCAGGTGACCCGTCCGCTCGTTTACCGGCTTACACCATAAAAAAACTAGATGAAACCTACGTTTCTTAACTGACTACTCTGAGAAGAAAAGTCGAAATAAACTCAGATGTCGCTATCTTTTGAAGTCCAGACAAATATAATAAAAATATGTGTAAGAACCGTGCAATTTCTTTCTGTAGTGGTCTTTTGAAGAAAGAACCACAACAGTTTGAGCGGACCCGTTCTGACGGCAGTACGCATGTGTTGGTTTCCATCAGCTCAGTTAAGCTGAGCCCAGAGGAGGCTGAGTGATTCGATGAACAATACTAACCAAAATAACATTTAGGTGGATCGCACAAATACTCATTCTGTCAGAACATGAGTAATTAGAAGGGAATGGCGAGGTACCATATACTTTTTGTTATGCTTCAGCAAAGTGAATGAAACACAGCTTAGATGTGCAATTGTCTCGATGTCTTAGACAAATCACTAAACTCTTTTATGGTATATGTGTAACTCTTATGGTCTGAATATATTCCAAGAATAAAAACAAAATATTTAAGTAAAAATAATCATTATTTTATATTTTAAAAACAACATCGTAAAGGTCAATTTTGAAAACAGTATATATTCATTATAATTAACAGAAGAAATAAACGTCTTAAAATGATTATAATTTTAATTTCAGGTTTATTATTTACAAATCAGTCTAAGTTTTAGGTCGGTAGGTTTTGAGGGGCCTCATTGACAAAGGAATGTTTAAAACAATGCAAGATCATGTTCCACCTCTTCGACAACTTCCTCTTGTGGAGCGATTTCTTCTACAACCTCATCCAAGGGCAAGTCTTGTATTTCATCATATTTAGGTTCAAATTCGTAGGCACTCTTGGAAAGGTCTTCGTGGTTGATGACGTCATTCCAGGCTCCGGGGCAGTTGTAATGTCTGTTGGCCCTGAGCCAGTCCCATCCAGTGACGAACTGTTGCTGTCCCATTAAACCGTTGTCATTCTGTAACCATATTGGAAAATTTTGAATGCAATTTCAGTAATAAATTATATCAGAGTTAGGTTATAAATTCTATTGTAGTTACTACTTTTTTAAAAGACTTTAAAGTACCTAATATAAATAAAATTCAATTTACGTTCGTTAGTCTCGCTAAAGCTCGAAAACGGCTAAACCGATTTGGATAAAGTTGTTTTTGAAATGTTCATGTGTCCATTGAAGGGTAAAAGGTGAAATAAATTTAAGGAGATACGAAGTTTGCCGGGTCACCTAGTTAGTTACTATATAAAAATGTAATGTTAAAATACTTACGAAGATAGGTAACATGGTAGCTTGACCGTTGATACTGAATCCGTATCTGCCATAGTGCATGTTGCTGGCGTATTCATATGGGAGTCCCATGTTGTTGACTATATTAGTTCCGTACTTCTCGAAGTTGTGTTCCATACCTAAGAAATAAGAAAATATATATTTAGTCAAGTCAAAGTCAAAATCATTAATTTCAATTAGACCAGAAAGGCAGACTTGAACGTCACACGAATTAAAAAAATTGACTATTTAGTCGTTCAAAGTATAGATTCCTATAGAAAATAACGAGAAAGAAACTCCATTATTTTTTTAAGGGCGGAAAATCATCGAATGACTTCTCCCGCCTGGGTGAGGCGGGAGGGAGTGACAGACTCTTACTGACTAAAAACCACCCCGTTCCTTCTCTTGCACGTCGAGCCGGAGCCCCGGTTACCCGTTAGGTTCTCCGCGACAAATAAACTCCATAGGTTACTCTTTTTCCATCAGTTTCACAGTGCCAGGCAATGGGTCAATTGATACCTACCTACTCTTTTTGTAAAGATATAATAAAATATAGTAAAGTGTAAACTGTCCTAAAGCATTAGTCATCGGGGCGGTAGGGCAAAAACATTCTCGAATTAGATAATTTAAAACTGATAAACATGAAAGATATGGCAAAGGTTATCAGTGACATCTAATCATCGCCTGTCCTAAAACAATAAGATGGATTAACCACTTAATAAGTGTTATAAGTATTGTCCTTACTAATATTATAAATCGGAAAGTGAGTTTGTTTGTTCCACTTTCACGCCGTAACTACTAAACCGATTGCTTTAATTTTTTGCAGACGTGAAGTTAGAAGTCTGGATTAAATAATAGGCTACTTTTTATCCCGGACAAATTTGATATTCTCGAGAAAAAACGAAATTATTGGTATAGATGGCGCTGTGTGTATTGGTATATATCACATAGGCTACTTTTTATCCTTTTGTGACGCGAGCGAAGCCGCGGGTAAAAGCTAGTAATTTATAATCTGCAATATACAAATAACATAATTCTCTAAACCTTTGTTGTCTGCGGCTTTCATTCACCTTTTGATGTTTTACAATTCGTTACATATTTATCAGGAAGAAATCAAGTGACTTTAATCTTTATAGACCTATGGTACCTATATTTATTGCACCTTATTTGCTAATTCGTCACTTGTCATAAACATAATAGAAATTGATTCATAAATATAAGTAGATACTAGTCGAACCATTTCCTCAATATATCTTGCGATAAACTATATATAGAGTGAAGCGCTTACATAGTACTTACATTCTAAAATGGCATAACCGCGAGATTAATTTCGATAAAAATTAATATTACCTATTTTTGCCTTAGGTATACACGGATACACATAGAGCTTTACATAACCAGTGTAAACTGAACGTTAAATGTGCGGAAAGATTATGCGACGCGACACCAGGATAAACTGGTTTTGTATAAATTGATGTGTGGCCGTGCGTGTGTACAACAGAATTAAATTCATTCAAAGAGCTCACAGTACCAAAGTTCTTACATGTATCAGTCATACATTCAGGCACTGCAAAATTGTTATTTTCGTTAGAACACATGGATACTCTCTTCTTTCTTTTAAAAACAAGAATAGATTCAGCAGTTCGATGTCAATATAAGTAAATTATACGAGTACTATGGTAACCGTCATAGATATAATAAATTAAGTGTTTCTGTGATACCGCACTAGGTAAATCTGTATAGCCACAGTCAGAAATACCAAATTGTCTTGAGGACAGTCAAAGTCAAAGTCAAAATCATTTATTTCAATTAGACCAGGAAGGCACTTTTGAACGTCAACAATATAAATTTAAAAGTGAAGATATTTGCTCATTCCAAGGTGTAGATTCTTATAGAGAAGAATGAGCGAGAAACTCCATAGGTTACTCTAGACAGATCTTGTTTCTATTTGTCATATTCTAAGAATGAATGGCCGCGACCAATGTTTTCAATAAAGACAACCGTTAACTGTCTCGTTGGCCGAGTGGTCGCAATTGCGACTGCCGGGTAAGGGGTCTCGGGTTCGATTCCCGGGTCGGGCAAAGTATTACTGGGTTTTTAAAAAAATCTCAGTAGTAGCACGGAGTCTGGAACTGTGCCCGGTATACGGCAAAAGGCTCACCCCCTATTACATGGGACTCATAACATAAATAGTGAAAAGTGGGTGTTACATTGTACAGTGATATAATGTGCACCTCTGCCTACCCCTTCGAGGATAAAAGGCGTGATGTTATGTTATGTTATGATATGTTACAACCGTTAACTACCCTGTATAAATGATTGTATAATAATAAATGGCGATGTTTACCAGGCCAGATGTTCTGCCACAAGATGCGGACGTAACTGTCTCTATTATGAGTGGACTGCATGTGCATGAAGCCGACTACATGGAGCCATTCATGGATGATCACAGTGTGGGTGAAGCAGCCGCGGCCAGGGGTGTCACGAGCCAAGTTCAGGGTGTGGACGCCCATGGAGGACCAGTAGCCCACGTTAGCGTAGCAACCATCAGCACGACCCTGGATAAAGAAGAAAAATTTAGAAAATGCTGTAAGGACATTAGTTAATTAAATTTTGGTAATGCTTTTATAATAGTTATCGTGAGACATACTAAATTAACTGAAAATCGTGGGTTATTCACGTAAACATACTGAGAAAAGCTCTACTAGTTTCGAACCACAGAGGGGTTTTTCCTCATGAGCAGCGTGCGCGGTCGCGGCGATGTCGCGTAGCCTACTGACTAGCATTGGCGCTTGCATCAGTGTTGTGCCTTGCGCTGCGAGACCACCGCGTCCTCTAGTAGAAACTTGTAGAACTTTTCTCAGTATGTTCACGTGTGTAACCCGCGATTTTTAGTTAATATGGTAATGTTATTGATTATCTATTACCGAAAAATACAAAAGGCGTTAGAATACAAAGGATTTACTTTATGTAAATCAAATGGAGCGTTCTAGACAAATATCATAAATTAAATAAAACTATCGCTACGTAGGCGCTCTGATTCGAAGAACTATTTTATAGATATGATTGGTATTTATGTTTATAGCCTTAGATTAATGGATATAGTACAATTAATGACATCGGGCAATGTTATAAAATTGGTTTGACTAAACAAATTACGCACATACATATCTAATCATCACCAGCGAAGTATATGAGTCTATAAAATATATAATGATTAACTATATGTAGGAGTTACGGTTAAAAATGTACAGGTAATATTCAACTCAAAGATCTAGACTAGATCATCTAAGTGATAATTTATTTGTGTCATCATGATCTTTTAGTTCCACAGTCATAAACTAGAAATTGTTTATCTAGAGGTATTAATCAAAACGATGGATTTAATCGTTACCTATTTATTCAATACTTGTGTTATTTTGTTGGTTAAAAGTTTATCAATATTACGTATCTGTTGTAAATATGAATTGCATATGATAAAAATATATGATTATCTATAAATACAATCAAATAACATTATAGAAGGCTGTGCATAAAATTAATAAAATGGACACCATGCAATGGGTAGATGCCTATTTTTTATTTTAATGTCCATCTGATAGATTATCTTAAAACATTAGACACGTATATTTCATTTTTTTACCGAATACTTTCGACGATATATTGATTTGAAATGTCGCGTGACGTCACTTCTATGTACATTTTATACATAGTAATAACGTTTAAGCCCCCACTCCTAAAGTTTGATTCGTTTTATCTAACTATCATTTTATTATAGAACAAAATAAAAAAATACGTGTCTAATATTTTTTCATTACCTAACTGACGGACTAATTAGATTTTTAATTTTCATACCCTGTCATCATTCCTTTTATCTTATGAATCATTTTGCCATTGTTCAGAAGCACATAAGAATATTGGGCCTAATCAAAAGTTTGGATAAGGAAACCATTAAGAACTTACAGTGATTCTGACAAAGTTGAAGTCTCTGGCTTCTCTGCGACGGAACCTGACGCAGGTCCTCGCGGATATCTCCCTCATGGCGGCATAGATGGCGTTGACTTGGGCGGTGGCTGGAATGTAATTATCAAGTGTAAATCTTTAGGAATTTTAGCATTTGTACCTACTTATCATTCGAAGAATACTTCACTAAGATGTAACAACGTCTGATGACATTAGTAATTCTGTCAGATAATTTAATTAAAACAATTTACACTTCATTATAGTATGTACTGAATTTTGTATCCGATAATGGGGCTGACGTTTTTCTCCCTGGAAAAAGAGCCCTACTTATAAAATAAAGATTTGAAAAAAGTAATTTTCTTAAAAATATTTTGTGTACGAACATTTAAATGATAATTATGTAAATGAACAGGATACTTACTGAACTCATTGTTGAACTCGTAAACAATGGTGTTGGAAGGCCATTTGGTGTTGGGCCAGATGTATGCGTTCCTGCCCTGAGCATACTGCTGCAGCATGAGCTCAGCCTGCTCATCATTCAACAAGATGTCGCCTTCGAACTTGCCACTGTTCTCCCAGACCGAAGCCTTGGGGTTCGCTAGCATACGGGATTCTAGGCGGATGCCATCCTCTGAGGAGAAAGTAGGATGAAAATTGATCATTATAAAGTTCTCAAAATCAAAGGAGCATAAATTCCCCACTATCTATCAAAAGATCACATCATGTGAGATTTGATGTTTGCCAACAACGTTTAGATTCTGTAGATTGACATTACTACATTATTATTTTGGACAATCAGTGAACGGACACGAGGACGACCACGATAAGAGACCAAGATGAAAAGACTAATGATGAAGCGAAAGAGGTATGTAAGAATCGTAGCAATTCGCATTCCATAGTCTCTGCTTACTGCCATGGGAGATAGGCGTGAGATTATGTATGTATCTGTATACATGTATACGTTTACAGATTATGCCGAAAAAGTAGTCGGGTGTCCTTCGGCTCTATAGGAAATCACAAAGCAACCTTGCCTTAAGTTAAGCCTTTAGAGTATCTACTATCTAGTATGATAGTAATAATTTATCATTAACCCTGAAATCCAATGCATTGTGAATACCAATCACAGTCCCTTAATCTCATTATCAAGTGTTTATGACATTTAATTAAAATGATTAATATATAATTTATCATTTATTTAACAAATCTGACGGCGGATTAGCGCTGTTATCTAAGAAATAATGTACTATCAAAGCTATTATGTTTACAAAACACGTGAGGATGCATATCGGACAAATATATCCTTTGTTTGAGGTCGGAATATTATTTAATGACTTCTCTAGACTTAGGTGAGGCGAAAGAGAGTGTCAGACTCCTACTGATTAGAATGTCTCGTCGTTCAGGGTAAAATACAGACCAAGGCCATACGGATGATCGCCGATGGGATGGGCTGATCAAGTGAAGAATTCTTTGGTAAGTTGGGAGAGATGGCGGAACATCGTGAGATGGACTATAGCAATGCATTCAGACAATATCGTACTGAGTACGATCACTAATTACTGTGTAAAAAGGTATACAGGTTAGAGAAGAAGAATGTCTAGTCTACTAGTATTATTACAACGATGGTTGCCAGGGTTGGACAAAAACGATTAAAGTTGAACTATTTAGCGTATATAAATACTTATACTAGCGGACCCGACAGACGTTGTCCTGCATATCTACTTGAATGTATAAACAAAAATTCTTTCAAATTAGTTCAGCCGTTTAAGATAACTAATATAGACACAGACTTCAGCACCATCTGCCGGGCTGATTTGTGAATCTAAACCATCATCCAGGGTGCCATTCAAACGCGTACAGAAAAATTCATTTAAATCGGTCAATCCGTTTAGGAGGAGTTCAATGACATACACACGTACAGCAGAATTATATATAAAAAAGAGATATATTAAAGTTGGCCGAGTGGTCGCAAGTGCGACTGGCGGGCAAGGAATCTCGAGTTCGATTCCCGGGTCGGGCAAATTATTACTGGGCTTTTAAAAATATCGCAGTAATTGCACAGAGCCTGGAAATGTGTCCGGTATATGGCAATAAGCTCACCCCTATTACATAGGACTCAGAACATAAATAATCATTCATTAATCTTTTCATAGATCGAGTGTATTTTTATTCACCTCTGCTAGTGTATTATACAATACATCCTTCACATCACACCTATAAGTACCCACTGCTGACCAAAGGCCTCTGAGAAGATGATGAGGAGGAGACCATGGAGACAGAGATGTCTAAATAATCTAAGAAAGTACATATAACTAGGAAAAAGTCACATTGGTACTTGCCGTTGGTAGGTTTCGAACCCGCGCCCTCATGCATGAGAAGCCGGGCCACCATGACATTTTATCTTTATATAGAGGTATATAATTCTTCTGTGAGTGTGTATGTCACTGAAGTTCTCTCAAACGACTGGACCGATTTTAATGAAATTTTTTGTGTGTGTTCAAGGGATCTGGGAATGGTTTAGATTCACAAATTAGCCCGGCAGATAGCGCTGCAGTCGGTATCTAGGTTATTTATCTATAGGTACTGATTATTATATTAAATGCAGGACAACGTCTGTTGGGGCCGCTAGTAATCTAATAAATATAAATAAAACAAGTCGACGTACCTGTCCTGCTTTTCTCCAGGAAGGACCTGAATGACTCAATGTCGCTCCTGGACCTGCTTACAGGTGGGACGGCAACCGCACACCCTACCAGCGAAAAAAATAACACCAAACCGGACAAGTCGGACCACATCTTTGTATGTTTAATTAAAACAAGAATCATCCACCTTTTATACAAAATCTATTATCTCAATAACGACTTAATTACACAAAGATATCGTACTAAATCTAATTAAACTATTAAAACATCGATAACACAATCGATTATTTTGGATTTTCATTAATAATGTTGTTATTATTATTATTATTATTCTGATAAGCTGCCAAGTTTTTGTTTTGTAAGTTTGTACACAAATAGTAGATATTCATATCTTATTGTTTAATTGATTAAATACGTTCTTGAGTGGCGAGTGGAACCGTGGGAAAAAGTTGTTTCGTTAAGTTGTTGTATATGTTAAGAGTATATTATTTAACCGCCATATTTATGACACTTACGGAAAATAGGTACCTCAATTTCCATCGATTAGCGTTAGACGAGCTGAAGCTTCGTTTCTGAAAATCTTAAAAAACAGTAGTATTAAAACCCGATGTCCCTTGGAGAGCATTTTATGATGTAATGCCTAAATAAAATAGTTTTTAGTTTTTATTTACAATTCATTTAGAAATTGAAAATTTTCAGACATACGAATAAATAATTGAACTTTGGAATCTTGTAAGATTTTTTCTGAGACTATTTGTATCAAATAAAGATGCAGTTTAGATTTAATAGATTTTGGAGTACATAAAAATAAATTTTTGCAGCTCTAGATCCAGAAACAAAAAGTTATTTTGATTTAAAGGAAACATTTTGGGAACAATTTATATTTCAATAAAAATATCATAATAATATGTGACCAACCGTGACATTTGGGGCGAAAGGCTAATAAGCCTTTCAAACCTCTCAATACTCTCATAACCTCTCAAATCCCTGAAAAAAATGTGTCGGTCCATGCGTCAAGCACCTTGTATATGTAGATAGGTAAATGTAAATAAATAACAAGAAAATACCCAAAACGTTAAGCTTAACATGTGCTATTTTCTTTAAAAAAAACTATAAGGTAAGGGATTTTCTCCTGTATCCTTAAGTATCGCACTTCTCCCGCCTGGGTGAGGCGGAAGGGAGAGTCAGACTCTTACTGACTAAAAACCACCACGTTCATACTCCTGCACTTCGAGTCGGAGCCCCGGCACCGCGGAACCGTATCGGCATCAGCCCTATTGGACCCCATCCGTGGCACTTTGAGCCTTACGCTCGGGTCCTGTGTTTTAGGTGTGGGTACGTTTACAAACATACAATTTCACAAACAAATCACACCCAGGGACATCTATTTATGGATCACACAAAGAATTGTTTTGTGCGAGATAGTTGCACAGCAGCCCAATCACTACACCAACTGTTCTATCAAAACTTACGGGTCGCCCTCAGGCGAACTACTCATAGTTACGTGGTCATCGTGGCTAAATTACTGACTCCCCTTGTACCTTGTAGGAAACATTTTATTTGGACCTTTATGCAGTTGTAGAGCATTATTATCATCGTTTACCTATAAAAACTGGGCCTTAGCTGCTAAATGTACCTGCTAATATTATGCAACTCCAACAGGGGTTGTCTCGACCAGAGAAATACATCCCTCGCTTAGAATATCAATGTGAAGTTGTGATGTAACAATGTCTGGTAATGTCAAGCGAAAATTCCGGATTTTTTTATGGAATACGAGGCAAACGAGCAGACGGATCACCTGATGGTAAGCGATCAGCGCCGCCCATGGACACCCGCAACGCCAGAGGAGCCACAGGTGCGATGCCGGCCTTTTAAAAAGGAATACGCTCTTTTCTTGAAGATTTGAAGGTCGTATCGGTTTAGAAATACAGCGGACGACAGATCATTCCACAGTTTTGCTGCGCGAGGCAGAAAGCGTCGTGAAAAGCGCACAGTTGTGGCCTGCCAACCATCTATATGGTGGGGATGCATATTCTGTCGTGAGGGTCGATGGTGAAAAGAGGCGGCAGGTATCAGGTCAAACAATTCCTCAGAGCACTCCCCGTGGTATAAGCGAATATAAAAATGTTGACCTTTTAAATGCGCCATTCGTTTTAAGGAAGTTTTGTGTGATACGTAGACTGATTTTAGAGTTTAGGATCTATACATGTTAAGAAACATTTTTAATTTCGTAAGTTCCAAAACCTAATACCTCTAGCAAATCACCTCTTAGTATATACTTATTAGTTAATGATGTCTAAGCAAATTGATGTGGGGGCAAAACCCAAATCGGATCTTTGGTTTTTTACGGATTAAATAGATAATAAATTATTATTAAAGCTGCGAAACCTAATTAAGAACTGATAAGTGGGATTTTTCTGTTTGGCATGTGGCTAATTAATCATCTGTTTGCACCCAGTAGGTACTATCACAGCTACACACTGTGAAACAAAGACTGGGAGTCTTTCTTTCGTAATTTGATATTAGTTTGCAAACTGCTACACTATGCAGCACACTGAGCAAAGGCTTCTTTCTGCAAAGGATTTTATTTTAAGTGTGGGAGAGCCATGCTTCGGCACGAAACGGCTGGCTCGACCGGAGTGATACCACGGCCTCACAGTAAAACCGACGTGAAGCAACGCTTGCGTTGTGTTTCGTCGTGTGTTCGTGTGTCGATTGGGGAAGGGGAGGGTTCCCCTTCCCCAATCTCCCCAATCCCTGAATTCCCAACGATCCTCAAACTCCTAATCCCCAAAAAGCCGGTAACGCACTTGTAACGCTTCTGGTGTTCCAGGTGTCCATGGGCGACGCTGATTGCTTACCATCAGGTGATCCGTCTGCTCGTTTACCGGCTTATACCATAAAAAAGGGGGGGAAATCATCCAATGAATTCTCCCGCCGTGAGTGAGGCGGTCAGATTTTCAACTTAAAAATGTCATAAGCATAAAATTGCTTAGGTACATTGTTTTTTAATCATGTATAGTTAATCTCTTATTTTATGCGGTAATTTTTCCTATAGGATCCTGCGATCACACTAATAGGTGGATCATTATGTATGTAGGTTATTATGTAACTATGTGTTTGTGATTTTATGAATCCATTCCAAACCATTCAGAATCGCGGAGAACCTAACGGGTTACCGGGGCTCCGGCTCGAAGCGCAGGAGAAGGAACGGGGTGGTTTTTAGTCAGTAGAGTCTGACGCTCCCTCCCGCCTCACCCAGACGGGAGCAGCCATTCGATGATTTTCCCCCTTAAAAAAAAAATTCAAAACCATGGTCACTGCCACACTGACCCACAATAAATAGACTCTTCCTCATAAGCAGCATGCGCGGGCGCGGCGATGTCGTGCAGCACTGTAATGTACCAGCTCCTCTGTGGGGGGAAACTAGTAGGGCTTTTCTCAGAATGTTTACCTGGGTAACCCGCGATTTTTAGTTAATTTGGTATATACTAATGATATCATAGAACTCTATTTACACCAATTAAATAAATGCTTTGACTTTGATAGTTATTGTAAACATATTTTATTATTTTCAGGGGAGTCCCCATTTTGAGGTTATTAAAAAGTAATCCTTACTTGCTTATCCTTACTAATATTATAAATCGGAAAGTGAGTTTGTTTGTTTGTTTGTTCCAGTTTCACGCCGTAACTACTAAACCGATTGCTTTGAATTTTTGCAGGCGTGAAGTTAGAAGTCTGGATTAAATAATAGGGTACTTTTTATCCTGGAAAAATTTGATATTCTCGAGGAAAAACGAAATTATTGGTATAGATGGCGCTTTGTGTATTGGTATATGTCACATAGGCTACTTTTTATCCTTTAGTAACGCGAGCGAAGCCGCGGGTAAAAGCTAGTTAAGTATAATAATACAATTTATAGAAATGATTTTACTAACACGTTTTTTAGTGTAACTTAAAAAAAATAAAAATAAGTAGGTATTTAGAGATAATTATGGACTGATGGACTTAGTGTGATAATTCTGATAATAAGACAAAGTGTTTGTTCTCTGCATGTTCGATGCATAACTTAGATAATAAACTAATTTACGGTGGAAAAGCTGCCGCACCCAAGATTAAATATGCTGTATCTGTTGTGATTTCCTGATCTGTTGATAAGTGTTGTAGAGGGCGCTAATGCCGCTAATGGTGATAATTGCACACGTTCCAAACGGGTCAGTCGATAGGTACAACTGTTATAAATCTAAAAAATAAAGTGTGGCGTCCCACTATCAGTAGATATGCATAAGTACATAGTAATTTATGGGACCCACTTTTAGTATTAAGACGAGAATATCAATACTGTCTATGGTATATTATTAACTCTGTGACACAATAAGTCGTTACACTTTTGATGGACAAGTCGAATATAAGTTTTGCCATTAATTTAAAAGCTTGCCTCTAAATTACTCGGCGCACAACGCCAAAAAAGGATAAAAGAAAAACCATATTAAATCAAAATCATATTTATTCGTTTTGCGCTATATATAAAAAAAATCTTTATAATTCTACAAAATAAAGAAGAATACAATATCACTATAATACTTATGTATAAAATAATAACAGAACATGGACGCCATTACCACTCTTGCGTTCCTTGTAATTTTTAATATAAAAATTATTCGGACCTCACATACACACCGTCTTGTCGTACTCACATCCGCTAACTAATTAACTGAATATAAAAATATAATCTAACGCACTAACTTCTTAAATTTATCAGTTCAGTAAACAATCTACAAAACTATAAATAGATACCACTGTTCTGTTCAATATTTGTAAACGTCATTAATGTATTGGCAAACAACATCAAGAAAATACAAAATCACATAAAAATCTCAAAGAAAAATTCATAAAAATTATTATTACTTACAATTTTTCGTGTGGCACATGTTTTTGATATCGTTATTTGTATCTATAAACATAATTATCTTAATTATTTATGAGCTCGTTATATTTAGCTATATATATACTATAACTGAAGTACTTGTGCCCGTTTGGGAGATTACAATGAGTTTTGATGTTCACATCGTCAAAAAACTTAATATCTCAGTATTGTATAGACACATGGCAATATCTTATACTATTATATAAAGCGGAAGAATTTGTTTTTTTGTTTGAACGCGCTAATCTCCGTAACTGTAAGTCTGATTTGAATAATTCTTATTGTGTTGGATAGCGCATTTATCGAAGATGGCTATAGGCTAAAACATCACGCTACGACCAATAGAAGCTGAGCAGAGCGTGTGAAACTGCGCGGAAGTAGCTAGTATAAGATAAATTTTCTAATATTTTAGACGAAATGTGAACTTCAAAACAATACAAACTCCCTGATATTGATACCTAAAAACTATGTATCCTATCTTTGTTTACGTCTTTCATTTTTACGAGTACGGGAGTGTGACCAACTTTGTGCAATCACCTAACTTATTTGCTATGAAGGTAAGAAAATTAAGATTCAATCAATACTGAGACAAACAGTACTAGAAGTAACCAAACATGTAGCTTCGTTACAACGCATATTAATTTTGTATGACTACCTCGTTGGTCGAGTTGTTTCAAGTGGTCGGGCAAAGTACTACTGAGTTTAAAAAAAAAATCTCAGTAGAAGCACGGAGACTGGGATTGTGCCTGGTATATGGCAATAGGTCCCTATTACATGGGGCTCATGACATAAATAGTGAAAAGTGGGTGTTACATTGTACAGTGGCAGTAAGTGCCGCAATGTGCAACTATGCCTACCCCTTCGGGGATAAAAGCGTTATTTTAATTTTGTATAACAATGCTGAATCTCGGTACTGAATCAATGTTTATTTTCTTACCAGCGTACCCAGAATCTTGCCTGTACATTGATGAAGTCAAATGAATACGACATACAATGTAACGACTATGTTGGTATTGAACAAACTCCCAGGGTGAAAACCATTATAATTTACTGATTATTATGACAATGAATTATTATTAATTGAAAAGTAGTTCCAAAAAGGGATTTTTTCTACCAAAACTCAATTTTTACGGCAATCAATATTCATAATTATTGTTATCTTTTTCTAAAGCGTTAAAAAAGCCAAGATATGAAAATAGCTGCGAAGCGTTTTACCCAATAAATTCAACTTTGTTTATATAAATTGATTAAAAAAAAGTAATAATAGTTACTAACTTTGAATATTTTTGAAATAAAATTTTGGAAATTCTTTCAATTTTACAAGGTGATCTTTATTAAACAAAATTATTATGTTTTCGGCTTACTTACGTCATTATTTGACGAGGAACTCGACTAGTTTCAAGCCGTGTTAGAGGCTCATATTCATGAGCAGCATTTCGCGACCTGAGACGCGGTGACTGTGTCTAGTGTCTAGACTAGTCGAGTTCATCGTCAAATAATTACGTGAGTAAGCCGAAAACATAATAATTTACTTAGTATGCCTCAGAGCACGAAAGTTGTGATCTTTATTATGCATAAACCTTTGTTTGAAATATTTTTTTATCTCTAGCTACTATTTCATCGCGCAGATAACAATATAATTATAGTAATAATCTGAAGTTGAGTCGGATTAGCTCAGCACATTGTTACTTTATTTTTAAATCACCATAATTTGGCTAACGTAAACTTGATTTACAAAACTCGACTTTATAGCTTACAAAATAAAGACGTGATCTGTGAGCAACTGGCTATAGATTTAGACTGCCTAGAGATTTTAATACGATAAAACAACTAAAATAGAATTCAATTATAATGTTTATAACTTATGTATGGAATGTTGCAATGTTATGTATTTAAGTGACCGTAGCGCCCTCTAGGTAGCGTGTATCGTATCATAATATGTATCCTACGATTTTTTTGATTTAGAAAAATAAAGTTTATTTTTTACTAAATGTTCATGTAAGTATGTAATTTTTAAGGCATTTATATATAAAACTAGAAACTACATTTTAATACTAATTCTATAATCTACTTATTGAGAATATTTTCTTTTAAAACTAATAAGTATTGCGATAAAGAGAGTTTGCTCATAGCAATGTCTTATTTTACAAATCGGCAGTGAATGACTGGTTTAGCAGAGCTGTGTTGCCAGCTTTGCGGAAAAACGGCGAAGACGTAGCATAAAGGTAAAGATAATTTAAAATAAAAATTTTAACGGAAAAATGCACACATTGACACTTTATGCTAAGTATTGCACCAACACCTTATTAAAAAAGCAAATTAAAAAATCCAACGTATCTATAATACGAAATTTTCAAGAAAAAAAAAACGAATTCATAACTTAAAAATGAGTTTTTTATAAAAACTTTAAAATTAATTCGATTTCCTGAAAGTTACACCCTCAGAAAATTGTAGAAAATATCTAATTTTACATCTAAGCTGCACATATTAACAACTCTTTATACTAATAATTAAGTAACTTATTCAAAATGGCAATGATTATAAAGACATCCCTTAAAAATGAGTTATTTTCATAATAAATACATAATTATGAAACCTATGTTTCATTAAACAGTCCTCGTGTCAACATCTTGTTAGCGCACACATACTACACCACAAAAGGTAAAATCGTTGTATTTTTGTCATATTTTTTAAGGTAATTATAATATCCACTTGGCTCTCGACACACACAATTTAATCACCTAAATACATCATCTAGAAAAATTGTTATAAAAATGCTGAGGCAAGATTCAGTTCTTGATCTACTCGCTAGTTTAAAGGCCCCAAACTCGTTTTAAAATTAGTACAAAATACAAGTATGTACTAAAATGTACTAATTTTATGGCTTTAATTTCGTTGAATTTAAATATTTATGAATACATAAGGAAGATTTGTTTAATTTTATGAAAATGTTCAGCCTTTTATACATTTCAATATTGCGAAAAATACATCAATGATATAAATTAAAAATTGTGTTTAGTTTATGTAAAATCTATCTCACCATTGATCCCTTGGCCTTATATTTAATAAAATATTAAATACACATGTAAAAGCAATTGGCAGTGTATGTTTGTTTAGTTACAATGTCATGTCATTTGGAAAGCGTTATTTTATACTACGGGCAACACTGTGGAAGATTTTTTTTAAATATTACGAAGTGTTACCCTATGTAAAATTAAAAATGTAGGCAGAAAAGGTTAAGGATAGCTTATCAGACGGACATACAAATTAAATGCAATAATATTAGCTAGATTGGCACTTATTTGATACTAAAGGTCATTAGTTATGAAACGAATGATAAGTGAATACATGTGTTTTTTTATCAAATTAATAAATTGATTAATTGACAAATGGAATAATTAACCTCTTTAGTATCCTTGCTAAATTAACGATTTATTCAATGTGATTAAAAATGTAGTGTACAGTCAGCAGTATAGTTTTTAAAGGAGGTATGTGGCAAAAGAATTGCTTGGCCTAATAGGAGAATTAGCCCTATCATAAATTCTCTAACTGATGCAAGAGTTTGAATATTTTATTTCAATAGTATATTCGAAATAACAATTGTAGGTAATTACTTTGTTCTGTTATATTGTTTCATAATTATAATTATTTGATTACATTCGAAACGTTTATTGCTAACTGACAGGGTGTAACGCGATTTGAAACCTACCAACGGAAGGCACCAATGTGTCGTTTTCCGAGTTATATGCACTTTCTAAGATTATATAAACACCACTGACAAACGGTGAAGGCAAAACATCGTGAGGGAACCTGGACTTATAATTTCTAATTAAAATTTGGAATAGCCAACCCATATTGAGCAAGTGTGGTGATTGATACTCAAAGAGAGAGAGTAGAGTGAAAAGAGGCCATTGGTCAGCAGTGACCACCTATAGGCTCTTGATATGACTGCTAACTATACATGTAATAATAATGATCACTTTATAAAATGCAGTGCATTAAATTTGCAGTAAATCTTTTACGTGCTAAGGCCAAACAAGTAATGATTAATCGATTTTTACCGACTTCAAAAAAAGGAAGAGGTACTATGTTCGGCTGATTGATTTTTTTAAGTAGGTATATTGATGATTGATTCGATGATGATCGCCATAGAAAACACGCATATCCGAGTATATATATATGTCCAAAATATTTATAAGGCTTATTAAGGCAGTCCAATGAAGGAGTGAAGACTAGTTTTTTTAATTCATTGACTGATTATAGTACATGATATAGTTTTGATGATCCTTGTCATTCTAGAGAGGATACACTTATTATATTCTTGAGCAATGGTTTTTGACCTTTAAGTCTTCGTGTGATGACCTTGAGGTTGTCGTGTGATGACCTTAAGGTCAGTAGGAGGTGAGCTCGAGTCGAGGTGAGGTCAGTGGTCGCCGCGCAGCAGTTCCATGAGCAAGTTGAAGCTTGGTCCATCACCGTCTTTGCTTTTATTGGCCGGGTTCAGCATTTCTTTACCGACTTGCATGAAGAACTGTGGAAAAGGAATAATTATTAATATTATTTAACACTTAGGATGTTCGATAAGGGAAAGAATCTGTTGTGTTGTAGGCACCTAAAGTTCAAAATTCATTAAAGTTGATTTAGGTGAAATTGGGTATTTTCCTGGGTTAAAAATAAATTAATTTGATCATTCAATCCAATTAAATATTCAATAATAATTACAATTTCATTAATATATTTGACGATATACTTAATTTTCAGAAATAAGTGTGCTATTTGACTCGAAAATATGATGACGTCATAAGTTAGTTTTTGGCACAAAATTCATAGAACAATATCGTTTTTGACGTTTCGATAAAAGTATTGAATTTGATTAGTTGTAAAATAACGTATTGAAATCTCACAAACATTTTATACATGGTGGGTTTTAAACATTATTTACAGATTTAATATTACATGCAAAAATATATCATCGATATCGAATGGGCCGGCTCGACCGGAGTGATACCACGGCCTCACAGAAAACCGACGTGAAGCAACGCTTGCGTTGTGTTTCGTCGTGTGAGTGAGGTTACCGGAGGCCCAATTACCCTCCCCTTCTCCAATCTCCCCAATCCCTGAATCCCCAAAAAGCCGGTAACGCACTTGTAACGCCTCTGGTGTTCCAGGTGTCCATGGGCGACGCCGAATACTTACCATCAGGTGATCCGTCTGCTCGTTTACCGGCTTATACCATAAAAAAACAATCGATCCTATCACATTCTTAAACTCATCCAACCATAAATTCAACCCCAAGTCCATTACAACAGAGTCAGTTTTTACCTGGCAAGTCCTCTGTAGTTCAGGTATACGTAGGAGTAACTCTCCGAACTTGGCGGGCGTGCCGGGCGAGTGAGTTGCTATGTATGCTTGTAACGCGGCCAGCGCCTTCTCCTGGGAAGCCCGGACCTTCTCCACTTCACGCAAATCTGGAGCGTCTGTGTTAAAGATGGGATAAAGGTAATGTTAATTTTTTGTTTTTTTTTCCTCAACAAAATAAGTACAGAAAAAAGCCTTTATTTCTAAAATATCTCATTGCTCTCATTGGTCTGCCTGCCTCATAGGCCGAGTGGTCGCAAGTGCGACTGCCGGGCAAGGGGTCTCGGGTACGATTCCCGGGTCGGGCAAAGTATTACTGGGTTTTAAAAAAAATCTCAGTAGTAGCACGGAGTCTGGAATTGGGTCCGGTATATGGCAATAGGCTCACCCCCTATTACACGGGACTCATAACATAAATAGTGAAAAGTGGGTGTTACATTGTATTGGCATAATATGCACCTCTGCCTATCCCTTCGGGGATAAAAGGCGTGATGTGTTGTTATGTTATTAGTCAATAAGGTGTTGGAATTCTTACCTGAAGTGAGTAGTACGATAACTTTGAGCGCCACATACTCGTATCGGTCTACTCGCAGCCGTCTCAGGTGGTCGGTGAAACTCAGCATGCGTTCGATGCAAGGCGTCAGACCCAACCTGGGTACATGGAAAACAAAGTCATAAATTAAAAGTAAAATTAAGTAAACTAAAAATCGCGGGTTACACACGTGAAAATACTGAGAAAAGCTCTGTTTTTTTGTTATTTAGTATGTCTTACGATCTTTATATATATAATTCGTCTGTGAGTGTGTATGTCACTGAACTTCTCTCAAACGACTGGACAGATTTTGATGGAATTTTTGTGTGTGTTCAAGGGGATCTGGGAATGGTTGAGATTCACAAATCAGCTCGGCAGAGGGCGCTGCAGTCGATGTCTAGGTTAGTTATCCTAAACAACGGCTGAACTAATTGGAATGAATTTTTGTTTATACATTCAAGTGGATATGCAGGACGTCTGTCGGGTCCGCTAGTAGTTATTATAAAAATGTAATTAAAATTAAACACTTTAAATTTATTAAAGTAAAATTAAGTAAGTAATTTACACTAAATACCTTTTTTCCTTGATATTGACGTTAATAGAGGGTAATGAAATGATATGTCTTACTTGGCACTCTGATGCAGCGTGATCCCCCGTCCTCCTCCTACGCGCACCTCCCCGGGCGTACTGACGCCGCGGTAACAACACGACAGGACCAACAACTCGCACCAACTGTTTATTAGCAGGCAGATTTGGTCGTCAATCTGGAAACAAATACAAACATTATGCATTGTTCTAACGTGGCACAAATCAGAAAATGTTAAGGTGAGACGATATAAGATATTTTTTTTACAAATTTTTGATTATATTAATATTAATCTGTCAAACACCAAGCGGTCACCGGTGACCGCGACCTATTGTTCTTTAATTGTGTCTATAAAACCGGTACTCGACGAGTTAATCTAAAAAAATGCCCTTCCTCTCTCCTACCAATTTTAAATGTTGCTGTGCCTGACAGGGTCCATAATTGTTACTTTTTTACATAATTATATTTACTAACCACCTGTATATGTACAGTATGGATACAATAAATACTTGATTACTTGATTGATATCATCATCAACAGCCCTAGACAGTCCGCTGCTGGACTTTGGCCTTCTCCGGAGGTGTTTACCCCCTCCGGAGCAGGTCTCTTCAGAGGACCCGGTGCCCCATACAGGTGCTGTAGGTGGCCACCGGGGTGGTTTTAGTGAGGTACGAATCCCACACTCCCTAGTCTTTCTCCCCAAAAAGTTAGGCGCCTCTTGAAGGTTTCCCCCCGTCATCAAAAAACCCCTCGCTTGGCAGACGGACTGGGAATCGCAATTTAAGAGTTGAGGTTTATTAGAAAGCCTGCTGTCTCATTTCTGGAAAATGTACAGCCCCTTCGTTGCTGGTGCTCTTAGAACACCCGCAAAAAGAGAAGAGATAGGGAGAAATGTATTATATATTTGCGTCACCAAACGACTTAAAAATACACCTTAATCTCCGATTATAAAAAATCCACAACATTTGTTCATACAAAAGTAGTCTCTAAACATCGGAAATAAGGTCTATAATGGTCTATAAATAAACTCACCGAAATATTCTTAAAAAGCGGCAAACTCTTGCACCATTTGACGATCTTGTAGAGTCGATGGTCGGCGATGTTACAGAGGTCGGCCAGGAAGTCGGGGCTGGAGTTATGCGCCGTGATCCCGCTGGCCGCCAATAGAGGGTTGGCTGAGGGACTCCCTCCCGTGGATTTGCCCAGTCTACTCAGCTCAGACTCGTTATATTGCCACAGATGTTCCACGTCCATTATTTCCTAGGGGAGGGAAGAAAAAGATAAGTGTGAAGGTTCATATACTCTTGGTTAATGTCATAATGTTGTGATTAAATAACATCTGACAAGGGTCTTCCTAAGAATGCGATATCATGCTTAGATCTCTAACGGCCGAAAGTAACACCGATCGATTTTCGATATTACTCGAGTCTACATTTTGGAATGAGCACCTAGCTTCACTGACGGACTGTCTGACAGACTATTATTTATTTTGTATTTGTTGAAGTTTCAAAAGTACCAAATTATGGTTTAATTCAAATAAATTATTGACTTTACTTGTAAGGAGTTTTTGTCTAAAACTTTGATCTCTCCAGTCCCTGAATCCCCAACAAACATCAAATTCCTAATCCCCAAAACGTCGGTAAAGCACTTGTAACGCCTCTGGTGTTCCAGGTGTCCATGGGCGACGCCGATTGCTTACCATTAGGTGATCCGCCTACTCGTTTACCGGCTTATCCCATAAAAAAAATCAATTCAGATATTTTAGATTACAATTGTTTATTAATTTCAGATGTTAGCTAATGTTTAACACAATCTCATTAAGATTCAGTGCTAACCCTAAATCTAGTTGAGGGACTATGTGATGCAATTTCAGACTGTATGTTTTAACTAAGAGAGTTGATATTTACCTGCAATAACGGCGGTATATCTGGCGTCACTTGGCTGTTGCTGGACTCACCTCGGCTGCTGTACGAGCCGGGGCCGTTAACCTGCAACCAATATTTTTTGTTTATCAAGGTAGGAGGAGGTGAAATGGGGTGGTTTTTAGTCAGTAAGAGTCTGACACTCCTTTCTGCCTCACCCAGGGCGAGTTATTTGATATATTATCACCAACACAAAAATAACCAGAATCATTTTATTTCTTAAATCGACAGCAATAATCTAAATCCCTGAGTGAGAGAATGGGAGAAATAAAGAGAGAGAGAGAGAGAAACAGAAAGAGACAGAGAATTCCTGAGAGGACAGACACTGTTGTCCTCTCAGGGATCTCTCAGGACACTGATGTCGTTACTCACTGGATTATGACCTTATTACCGATGTTTAGAGACTACTTTTGTTTGAATAAGCGTAGTCATTATCCACCAGCACCTCGGTCAGTACTGCCACATCACGTAGATTGAAATGGTTTCAATACAATATCATTACATGATGGTACCAAAGTATTGTGACTAACAAATAGGGTTTTATTTAAATTTTTATTAAGTATATAAGAATAAGAATAATGTTTATTTCAAAAAAAGTTTTTTGTAAATTTTGTTGCATCCTGGACCTCACACTAGAATTCCCTGTGTCGTGAGGCCCAGCCTCCCAAAAAGTACAAAAGTTAACAAACAGTACAAAAAGAAAAAATACATTATAGTGAGTAAGTGAGTGAGTAAGTGAGTTAGTAAGTGAGTTAGTAAGTGAGTGAGTGAGTGAGTGAGTGAGTGAGTGAGTGAGTGAGTGAGTAAGTGAGTGAGTGAGTGAGTAAGTAAGTGAGTGAGTAAGTAAGTAAGTGAGTGAGTAAGTGAGTGTATTGTGCGTGCGTGTGTGCGTGTTTGCATCTGCTGGGTTTATTAGGTGTGTATGTAAGTGTGTGTTTTAAGCGCTTTTTTATAAAACAGGCTTAAGGTTAGTAACTTACGCTAGTAAGACTGGAGGCGTGTCGTAGCGTGGTGGGCGCATGCGCGGACAGTAGCGAGCCCGTGCTGGCCGCGCCCGACAGCGAGTACGAGCACTGGTACGTCGAGCGTCCGCCGCGGGTGCGGTCCTCGCGGATTGCTGGGAATATATAACATTTAAACTTACAATTCGTTGGCCGAGTGGTCGCAAGTACGACTGCCGGGCAAGGGGTCTCGGGTTCGATTCCCGGATCGAGCAAAGTATTAATGGGTTTTAAAAATTCTCAGTGTCTCGGAGTCTGAAATTGTGCCCGGTATATGGCAATAGGCTCACTTCCTATCACATGGGACTCATAACATAAATAGTGAAAAGTGGGTGTTACATTGTACAGTGGCATAATGTGCACCTCTGCCGACCCCTCCGGGGATAAAAGGCGTGATGTTATGTTATGTTTAGGTTCAAAATCAAACAACATCTTACCTTCAAGCTTCATGCCACAACCCAAACATTTATCAAATCTGCAAGCTGGACACTTCTTCCTAGTAGTGACGGTGACAGGACAGTTCCCACCTCGGAGACACATGTAGTTCTTGCGGTTCTGAACCGTTCGCTTGAAGAAACCCTTGCAGGATTCACACGAGAATATGCCGTAGTGGAAGCCGCTGATCTTGTCTCCGCAGATTGGGCATGGACTGGTGGATGGAGAAAGATTTAAATTAAAACAAAGAAGATGTTAAAAGTGTATATTATAACTACCGGATAAAGGGGTTTGATTTGATTTCACGTTGGTCGCGTTTGATTTTCGGATTGGGTAAAGTTTTATTGTGGTAGCATAGAACCTGAAATTGTGCCCGGTATATGACTATAGACAAGTGAAGAGTGGTTGTTACAATGTATAATTATGTATGTTTACCATTTGGAAACTAAAAAGATAAAGACATGACGTTATAATTGTTAATATGGAAATTCTCGATTAAAAATGGTTCTTTCGATTTTTTTTGTTATTTTTTTTTAAAGTTTTATATAATTTCATTTGGTAATAGTTCAATTAACATATTATATATATTAAATATTAATTTTATTTATTTTATACTTTAGAGAATTTTATACTTAAGTATTTTTGGAAATAAAGTCGTACTCTTTCGAACTTACATCACACTTTGTTCCTTAAAGAAGGTGTCAGAGAGTATTACCTGTTGATAAGCTGTTGTCTGCTAATACCCTGATGATGATGCAGCCTGTCCTCAGGGGCGTCCGGCTCGTCCTCGTGTGTACCGTCGTATGCCGCCGCCGCTTCTCGGTACATTACGTGCGGGTGACGACCCTGGAGGAGAAAATAGGAGTTATAAATCAATACAAATAGTTTAGTGTGGGAGAGCCATGCTTCAGCACGAATGGGATGACTCGACCGGAGTGATACCACGGCCGTACAGAAAACCAGCGTAAAACAACGTTGTGATTCACCGTGAGGGTGGGGTTACCGGAGACCCTCCCCCTCCCCCTCCCCCATCCCTAATAGCCTAATACCTAATCCCCAAAAGGCCGGCAATGAATCAGAAGATACAAATGCGTATACCGTAAGAAAACCAACTTCATTTTGGTAGACGGGGCAGCATGATAGACATGCTTCCTTCGATTGATATTTATTATATGATAATAATTATATCACCTGCACTGGCGAGTGTGTGGGCGAGAACTCGGAGCTGTATGAGTAGCAGGACGAGTGGGACGCGTCGCTGTTGTTGCGGGACAGGGACGGCGTGTAGTGGCGGGACGCGCGGGGACTCGCTGACGGACTGCTGTATACGCTGCAAAACAATAAATACTAGTTAATAATAGTAACTACTTGTGATTAATTAGACTGCATGGTTGGTGCGGTGGCTGGGCAACCAGCTGCCGAGCAACGTGTAGCTAGTTCGATTCCCGCACGAAGCAACTCTTTGTGTAATCCACAAATTGTTGTTTCGGGTCTGGCTGTCATGTGTATGTGAACTTGTATGTAAATGCACCCACGATACAGGAGAAAATCCTAGTGTGGGGCAACGTAAAACAATAAAAAAGAAAAATACAACAAATTAGGTATTGAATTGTAAGGTATTGTTACCGTTGTAAGTATGTGTTGGACTTCTGGCTCACAGGACTTAGCGATTTTAGGAGGATTTTAAGATTTTCGAATCAGGAACGGGTGCGCGATAAAAATAGAAACTAAAAATGGAAGGTTCAAGGTATATGGCGTGATTGTCCCATAAAAAATTGCGACTAGAACAGGAGATACACTAGAACATTTTGCCTAAACCAATTGAACCAGTTCATACCTTATTATAACACAGTTTTATTCATAAACATCTATACCTGTGTGTATACATGGAGTGTACAGCGGAGTCCGTGCTGGCACTGGACTGTACGCGCGGCAGTCGGCCGAGCAGTGGCGAGCCGTGCAGCGCACCTATCAACTTGTCCATACCCACTGACTGCTCGCATTTTAATTCTGTGGAGATATAACAGTAATATAAATAACATAACATCAAGCCTTTTATCCCCGAAGGGGTACACAAAGTAACACCCACTTTTCACTGTCATGTTATGAGTCCTATGTAATAGGGGGTGAGCTTATTGCCATATACCGGGCACGTTTCCAGACTCTGTGCTACTACTGAGATTTTTTTTAAAGATCCAGTAATACTTTGACCGACCCGGGAATCGAACCCGAGACCCCTTGCCCGGTAGTCGCACTTGCGACCACTAGGCCATCGATGCAGTCCTCAGGAGATATAAACATTTATTTTAATAAAAGATGTTACCATGTAGTCATGACAGACCATGTACTATTGTCTTGTCTAATTGTCCTGGTCTAATTCATTTCAATTAGACCAGGAAGGCACTTTTGAACGTTATACAAATATTTAAAAAAATGCCTATGAATCTGTCGGTCCTCTAATGAAGCTATTTGCTTTAAGTATATATCAGAATAAGGAATTATAATTTACATATTTGGTAGAGACTAGGCAGCATCGCTTTTTGATAATCCTAATCATTTTAAACTATGATCTTCAGCCTTCCAGACCTGGTGACTGGAGAGTTTGGCAAACCCTTTTATATAGAAAATGACTTAAGGCCATCTAGCAGTAGATTTTCAAGGACTCGTGATGATGATTCTCCAAAAATAAGAAGAACTGACCTGATAACTGCGTTTCCTTCTTGATGGTTAGGTTCTGTACTTGATCGAGTCCGGTGTGTGTCATATGTGTTGAACCCTGGTCACTTAATGCAAGGGATTTGGCACTACTGGTAGGAGAGGAGGGCCGTCTTGCAAGAGAGAGGGACGTGCCATCTGTGAGCACTGATATCTGGAAAGAACAGTAATTCTATAAAATTTTTGACGCGTATTGTTGACAATAGGGTAGACGACTAATTTTTATTTTAATGTCCGTCTGGTAGATTATTTAAAAACATTAGACACATATTTTTTATTTTCTCACAGAAACGAATAGTTTCGAAGATATATTGATTTGAAATGTCGCGTGACGTCACTTCTCAGTACATTTTATACTAAGAAATGACGTTTTAGCACCCACTCCTAAACTTTGATTCGTTTTATCTAAGTATTGTTTTATTATACGACAAAATAAAAAAATACGTGTCTAATATTTTTTCATTACCTAACTTACGGACTAATTATATTTTTAATTTTCATACCCTGTCATCATCCCCATTCTTTTTCTTTGTTCTGTGGTAGATAACTAAAATACATTCCTAGTTTATCCCAAATTAATTGCAGTGTCATTGTATTTTAACTAAATTCGCCTGATTTTGTGAAATATTATAAAGCTAATAATATCTATGTAGTTACTGCGATTTGGCCTCCACAACCTACTGAGGCAGATCTCGAACCCGCTAAGATTTAATTGTTGAGCTTCTGACTAGCCGTAGCCGTAACGACTCGTAAATTGTTCCAATGATAATATAAGGTTTTTTTGAGGTTAAAAGGGTAGATGCCTAATTTTTATTTTAATGTCCGTATGGTAGATTATTTTGAATCATTAGACAAGTATTTTTTATTTTCTTATAGAAACGAATACTTTCGACGATATATTGATTTGAAATGTCGCGTGACGTCACTTCTATGTAATTTTATATGTAGAAATGACGATTTAGCTCTAACTCCTAAACTTTGATTAATTTTATCTAAGTGTTGTTTTATTATACGACAAAATAAAAAATACGGTTCTAATATTTTTTCATCATCATCCCTATTATATTGCGGAACTACTGACGACTACAGGCGGTTTGGTAACATTAAAGGGAGTAGGTATAAATAAAATACAATAATCTCTTACCCTATTCATACTAAGACTCCGCTGGTGTGGCTGCAGCGGGGCGCTGTACTTCAGATCCAGGACCCGCTGCTCATCCACGCCCTGGAAGCCCTCAGTCTTTACAGGTTCTGTCTTTATGCTCACGTTGCGAAGGGTGTCGATTGAATCCCTCGACGATTGGAGGTCTAGAGAACTGCTATTTTCGTCTGTGGAATAAATCAGACCCAATTAAATAAATAAAAAAAATATATATACTAATTAACATTAATTAGGCTATACGGTTAACTCATGTATCTGTTCAATAAGATTGTCGCTCAAGGGACTTATGATTATGAGCCCCAGACCGGACTCGAAAATAGTCGAGTAACCTCGTCCAACAGTTACTCTTATTCTGATAAATAATTAAGGTAATACTAACCATTGTTACCACCGGTGTCTATGACCATCTCCGAGTCAGAGAGCTCTCCCTCCCAGGACATTGGTCGTTCCCGTTCATTGCTGGACACTTCGGGAGCACCACTCAATGAACGCTTCTTCTTGTTACGCATGTTAACCTGGAAAACAAAGTGTCCATATTTAGTTACAAGGAAGAAGAAAGGATAAAGAAGTATAATTTTTATAACATCGTACACAAGTTTTCACCAAAAAATCATCCAATGATTCATATCAACAGCCTATAAGTGGCCACTGCTGACCAAAAGCCTCTTCTCGCACGGAGAAGGTTTGAGCATTAATTACTACGCTTGCTCAATGCGGGTTTGCGATTTCAAACTTATAATTAGAAATTATAAGTCGAGGTTTCCTCACGATGTTTTCCTTCACCGTTTGTCAGTGGTGTCTAACGTCCAATTTCAATAACCTATCTATCTGTAGAGTTGCTTACTAGAGATAGAATTTTGACACTTTTTGTATGGAGCTCATGTCAAAATTCTATCTCTAGTAAGCAAATCTACAGATAGATAGGAACTGGCAGTATGGTGAGGCGGGAGGGAGTGTCAAAGTCAAAGTCAAAGTCAAAGTCAAAGTCAAAGTCAAAGCATTTATTTCAATTAAACCATAGTTTGGTGCTTTTGAAACGTCAACAAATACAAAATAAATAATAGTCTGTCAGTCAGTCCGTCAGTGAAACTAGGTGAAGCTAGGTGCTCATTCCAAAAAGTAGATTCGAATGGAGAAGAACGAGCAAGAAACTCCATTCGTTACTCTTTTTAAAAAAAGTATGTTCTACAATGTCTCTGATACATATTTCAATACTGTACGCATATGTAAGAACAATGCAAAGACACGCTTGACGCATTATACTAATAACTTACAAAAATTAAAAAAAAAAAATTAATAAAAATTAACTTAAAGTCCAACATGGTGCTCACATATGCATACTGACAATCCATAGAATTAGTGCTTCTATACAAGAAAAGGTAACTCTTTGTTTCAATAAAGAAATGCTCGATGCCATAAGGAAACTAGATTGTCTACATTAGAATTAAAGTGTTAAATACCTACTATTGGAATTTAGCTACTGACTACATTTGAGTATTGTCCAGTGGAGCCGAACCAACATGCTGCCAAGCATTCTTATCTTCAAGATAATCTGTCAGTATGTAGTAGGCTTGATTACATAATTCGCGCTTAATATATGTTTTAAATTTACTTTCACTGAGATCTAGTATGCTATTTGGTATTTTATTATAGCATTTAATACCTAACCCCATAAAGGATTTCTGTACTTTGGACAGTCTGAATTGCGGTATAGCTAACTTATTTTTGCCTCTAGTATTAAAATTGTGTCTATCGCTTCTTTTTTCAAACAATTGCCTATTTTTCCTTACATACATTATATTTTCATATATATATTGACAGGGCACCGTTAAAATATTTATCGTTTTAAACAATTCTCTCAGCGATTCGCAACGGCGTAAGTTATATATTGCTCGGATAGCCCGCTTTTGTAGAATAAATATTGATTCTATTTCTGCAGCTCGACCCCACAACAAAATGCCGTACGACATAATGCTGTGGAAATAACTAAAATAGACAAGCCTAGCTGTATCTACGTCCGTGAGCTGTCTAATCTGTCTAACTGCAAAAGCAGCTGAGCTCAATCTCCCCGAAAGCGCCTTTATATGCGGACCCCATTGTAGCCTATTGTCTAACGTAATGCCTAAAAATACTGTCTCGTCGACAAATTCTAACTTTTGACCGTTCAAAACAATATCACTATCGTTACTACGCACGTTTGGTAAACTGAATTTAATACATTTTGTTTTTTTCTCATTAAGTGCTAGATTATTAATGGTGAACCAATTATGCACTTGAAGAATGGAGCTGTTTACGTCGTCAAGATTATTTGTACGTCGATCTATTTTAAAAATTAATGATGTATCATCTGCAAAAAGCACCATTCGTGGTTCATTTTTAAATATAAATGGCAAATCATTTATATAGACTAAAAAGAGAAAGGGACCCAATATTGAACCTTGAGGAACGCCCATATTCATCCCAGAGCCCTGCGAGTTAATACCGTTAACATGAACCTTTAACTGTCTCTCTTCTAAATAAGATCTCATAAGACGGAGCGCAGAGTTTCTTATCCCGTAGTGATCTAATTTCAGCAAAAGTGTCTCGTGGTCAACGCAATCAAATAGCAAATAGCATCCTGTGCTTCCTCCCAAGCACCAAATATTTCCTTAATCAAAGTGACACCGGCGTCAGTTGTACAACGACCTTTAGTGAAACCGTATTGTTGTTGGTGAAAGATGGAATGTTTATTAAAATGATGAAGCATCCGAGACAGCATCAACTTTTCAAAGACTTTGCTGAGAACCGGCAAAACAGACACTGGCCTATAGTTGTTAGGTTCTTTAGTGTCACCACTTTTAAATAGTGGGATAACCTTACTATATTTCATTAGGTCAGGGAAAACACCGTCATCTATACATTTATTGAAAATCACAGCCAGATATGGCGCTACAGTTTGGATAAGTGACTTGCAAACTATTACCGATAAGCCCCAAAGATCCTCCGTAGATTTGGTCTTGATTTCTTTAAAAACTTTTATAATTTCTAGAGGATTCGTATATCGAAAACTAAAGTCGTATTGGCATGATTCTATGTTGTTCTTAAGCAAAGTTACAGATAGGTTTGCTGATGACTTTAAATGTTCAGTTGTTTTAATAGGAATGTTAGTAAAAAAATGTTCAAACTCCTGGGCTACATCTACGTTTGATGAAATCTGTCCCCTTTCGGTATTTAAATTAAATTCTGAGTTTCTTAATCTTTTCCTACCAGTCTCGTTGTGTATAACTTTCCAAGTAGTTTTTATCTTATCATCAGACGATTTTATTTTATTACTAATATAAAGACGTTTCGCGACCCTGCATACTATTCTAAAGGTTTTTGAATAAGATGTTACATACTGGTGAAATTGGGGGTCGTTTTTGTACGGTTTCATTCCATAAAGTTCAAAAAGTCTGTCCCTACTCTTACGAATACCTACAGTTGCCCAATCGCTAAATACGAATTTGGTATGAATATCTTTATTTTTTATTGGCAAAATATTGTTAAACTCTTACTTACTCAAAACCACCCCGTTCCTTCTCCTGCACGTCGAGCCGGAGCCCCGGTTACCCGTTAGGTTCTCCACGACAATATCGAAGACTAGGAAGTCGCATTTCACTTTAGTCTACTTCTCGAGACTTTACTATTGAGTTCAAGAGCCCGCATTGTGCAAAGATCACTGACTTGAGAAACCAACCGATGACTGATTACATCCGTCAGTCACGAAGTTCAAGGAGTTACTGGGTGGTCGATTAACAACTGTTATGATGGTCAGTTATTATCAATGCGATGTCAAATTCATCGCTTGCACTTGACATGAATACCTTTTAAATTGAATAAATGTCATTAAATGATGTAGTATAAAGTTAACTATAGAAATGGTAGGTACTTTCGGATGGACAACCGGTTGGTGGACTGGTTTTTTTTTAAGGGGGGAAAATCATCGAATTACTGCTCTCGCCTGGGTGAGGCGGGAGGGAGTGTCAGACTCTTACTGACTAAAAACCACCCCGTTCATTTTCTTCCACGTTGAGCCGGAGCCCCGGTAACCTGTTAGGTTCTCCGCGACTCTGGTGGACTGGTTGCAAGAGTAATATTAAGTCAGTTATCAAAATTTGATACGCCCGAATACTGAAAGGCTAGTTGTACTTACGTGCTGTCTCTGTCGTTTTACAAAGAATTTGTAGTGACACAACTATATTTAAGAATAAATTGAATGATGTTCGAGTATGTCAGCGTCAGAATCATGCTATTTAATTCTAATTAAATGTTAACATTGCATAATTCTCTCTAACGCATTCTGTACGCGGAAATTAAAGTAATATTTCTTTAAATAAATTATTTTGCTACTTTAACAAGATTGAACTGCAAATCAGTGCTGGGTGCTCATTGTGCCCAGCTTTATGCTGCGTTGGTGACCTATCGGATTGGGCATGTCCGCCAACATCGCGCAGTATGTTGCACCTGTATTATTAGCTTGTTTTAGTTTTATAATTTACCTCATTCATCATCAAAAAAAGATATTTTTTCTTTCTATGTCTGTTTTTAAACCTTTATATTGTTATTTGTCATAATGTATAAGTATTTTTTTCCTGGCATGCATGTCTTATGCCGAATAAACGTATTGCAGTTCATTTCATTTCAACTGACCCAATATGTACTCTACAACGTTGTCACTAAAAGTTATTTTTTAACAATTTCTACTCCGATGTGCAAATGTGTAGTTAAGTCAAAGTCAAAGTCAAAATCATTTATTTCAATTAGACCAGGAAGGCACTTTTGAACGTTAGCAATAGAAATTTAAAAGTGAAGCTATTTGTTCATTCCAAGGTGTAGATTCCTATAGAGAAGAACGAGCAAGAAACTCCATAGGTTACTCTTTTCTAATCAGGTTTACAATACAATTCTCCATTTACACAGTTTTATTGGTTCGATTGTGCGAGAACAATGTAACACCAAAATCAAGTCAAAGAGTCAATTTACCTCGTATTGATGTTGTGTGAAGTCGATCTTAGAGATCTCGGCATCAGTGGAGTCTTCATCATGAGGCACTGAAGACACACTGATGCGCACCCCGCTCGAACTGTACGAGAACTGACCTGGAATAATACACAAACAAGATTATTAACTTTAACTCATTGTGAATCATACGAATCATGGAACTAATGTCATCAATCAGTAAGGTCTTGGCCCTCATATAGTAGGATATGATTTAATTGAATAATTAGTTTTTTTAGGTACGTAAGTGCTTGAGCATATTATGCACATTGCAGGATCTGATGATTACCAATCGTCTTTTATTTAATGCAACTAATAACCGCTGGCGAGAAGTGGATGTCAATAACTGCTCTCATTTGCAATTTAATTTTTTTTTATTTGTCCCATACTGGGATATTTTCCTGTGTCGTGGGTGCATTTACAAACATACAAGTTCACATACACATGACACCCAGACTCGGAACAATCTATGGGTCACATAAACAGTTCTTTCGTGCAAGAATCGAACGCGCGACCACGACGCACGCTAACCTTGCAGTCATTTCGGAAGATAAAGGACGTTAAGATATTTTTTGTATAGCCACATATAACATAATATCACGCCTTTTATCCCCGAAGGCAGAGGTGCACATTATGCCACTGTACAATGTAACACCCACTTTTCACTATTTATGTTACAAGTCCCATGTAATAGGGGGTGAGCCTATTGCCATATACCGGGCACAATCCAGACTCCGTGCTACTACTGAGATTTTTTTTAAACCCTGTGATACTTTGCCCGATCGAATCGAACCCGAGACCCCTTGCCTGGCAGTCGCACTTGCGACCACTCGGCCAACGAGGCAGACATTTTTTGTTTAGTAGTAAGAATTGTAGCAGTAGTTAGTAAGTTTTAGGAACAAACATACTACAGTTTTTGTCTATACGCAACAATCGTTTCATTCCGTAACAGGTACACACTGCAATCCTGATTAACAATAATTATATTTAAATTGAACATGTGCAACCATATTTCAATCCGGTATCTGCTACTAATAATATGCACGATGCCAAATTACCAAGAAATTCATTCAAAGCTAAAACGTGCAGACATTTTTAAGTAGTTAGGTAGTTACTGAAGTACTAATATGCAAGTGACAGTCACAGAAATTCTTAGAATGCATTTTTCAAGTGCTTTAACTACTGTAAGATTTCCGGCTTTAGAAAGGCAGAAAGGATAACTCATTATGCACTGGGCAGTCTTGTTAGTAGTTTTGTACCTAAGCTATTAGCTACGTAATTAGATTTGCCGCCTTTTTTTTGGTATTTAAATGTATATTGACGATTATAGGTAAGAAAAAAAGTACATAGTACAAAAATAAAGTACAATTTATTCTTATTTAGTATTATATTTAAAAATATTTTATATTGCTTTTTGCAGTTTGTATTAGTATCTTTACTAAACAATTCCATCTTTACTAGAAATTGTCTAAGTGGCGCTGGCGAGTGGCGAAATCGATAAATATCGATATCGAATCGATAAGTTTACCGAAAAACACTTACGAATGTAATAGAAATGAAATTTGCAAAAATAAAGTATTTTCGTGTACTCTATTATTCTTATAAAGTATAGAGTCCAATTACCTTAAATAACGCACAATACTTTATTATAAAGTACGGGTGGCAACCCTATACGTAATGGTTATGAAGTATGAATGTTTCCTCCTGTGATTTCAAACGCATACTTTGTTCCAATTATTGTAACGGAAATTTTCTCAGGCTTTCCATAAATTAACATGTTCGAACACAAACTTTTAGGGAACAAAAAGTAAAGTTCCTAAAGATCAGAAAAGGAGGATCCACCGATCAGAGTGCTTAAGGACGAGTTTGTTTTACGTGAAAATTAATCGAATCTGATTGGTTGGTTTATTTGAGCCGGCCAATCAGAGCTCCGAACGCGTACTCGTTACGGTTACTCTAAATCTAAACTGTCAAACACCGCGAGGACACCGGTGACCGCAACCTATTGTTCTTTAATTGTGTCTATAATGAAAGTACTCAAAGAATTAAACGTAAACAAGTGAGGTGCTCGTGTCTGGCGGGCTTTCTCCCCAACAGTAATTGTTCGTTGGGATTTTCTATCCTTCATATGTGCGATGTAGGATTTTGTGACGTAATCCGTTGATTTGTTTTTATCGATAATCTATGTGCGTGAATGTCAGGCTGTCCTTTTACATATTTCGCTACAAACTCTTTATGTAGTTGTAGCACTTTAATCAATACCTTCCGGAAGAATAACTTGAATTTTCCTTTAATAAGTTAGTAGTAGTTAGTATATGTCCTACATTTTCAACGTAAAATATCAGGAAAAGCCCGGAATGAATTGGACAATTATTTAATTAAGTGCTGTCAATAATTATAATATCCCAAACCGCACAAATCAGTATTAATACTTGTGTTAACAATTTCTGTTTAGACACACAGAAGGATTTTCAAGGTCAAAAAACACATGATATCGTACAGCAAAGCCTCGATTTTTTGATAATAAAACCAGTAATTAGCAATTTCAGTCGAGGCAGCAGACAGGATATCGGAAAGAAGATTACAAGCAAATAAAAATGGATTCCGTAACTATCCGTACCATGAACGAAAATCGAGTTTTGTGAATCCGTGATGCATTTTCGGCGAAAAGATTTTTATTAGTCATCAAAATATAGGTAAGCTGTTATATATTTAGACACTTATTTTAATATCATAAGAGTCTAATTTTAGCCCATTAGGTTAATAGGTTATCTTGTACTATTTTAAGGCTAACCACAGATGTATTTTTCTTAGAAGAGGTCTTTAATAGAGACAGAAGAATCTATCTTCATGTTCTACAAAAACAGATTAGATACCTACGTATAGATTGGATACATCTAATTAAAGATTTTATACCCAGATGTTTCGCATCTTATCGTACTAATATGACTGCACGGTTGGCAGAAAATGTATAAAAATAAAAGTAATTAAGGTCCGCTATTTAGGGCAGAGAGAGTTGCCTGAAAAGATTTTCGGTTCTCACATAAGTATTTTATGTAAAACAATCTCTCTCTCTCTCTCTCTCTCTCTCTCTCTCTCTCTCTCTCTCTCTCTCTCTCTCTCTCTCGTCTGTTTACCCTTCAAGGGTAAATATTTCTCACAAGAGGCCTTAACACCTGAACATTTTTTTATACAAATCACAAATAATTACACTCCTTAAATAAAAGAGGATAGCTAGCGTCTTAGGGATTTGGCATAAGCAACACGCTTATCATCAACAGCCTGAAGACGTCCACCGCTGGACAAAGGCCTTAAGAATATAAATAATTTGAACATAAACAAATGTAAATAATGAACTGTCTTTATACATTTCATATTTTTAATTGGTATGCTTTCAGCTTACCCACACAACTGTTTAACGATGAAGTCGACTTGTATCAAGCCATGTTAGAGGCTCGTATTCATGAGTGGCATTCATTTATTCTTTCATATTTTTGTTCTAGAAAGAATTTTCACCACTTTTACTTACAGATCTTATATTTTATCTTTCATTAAGTACCTAAATAATTTAATTAGTAAAGCCAGTGATAAGCGTCCTTTCTTTTTGATAACACATGAATACCTAGTCAGTTGTTCGCTTCAAATGAAATTAAATTATCGTGCCATTCATACTCGATTCGATCATCGATGAGTATTCAAAAAAGAATTTCGAAATCAAAGTAATAATCACAGTGGATTATTTTGAGTTAAATCTACTTTAAATCATAGTTTTATAATCTTATCAATCTTTGCCTTTGCCATTGAAAAATTGTTTTGAAACTTTCGATAAATAAGACATAGGTAGACATAGGTACTTAGGTATCTCTTCATCTGATCACTGAATTTCTAGATACCACTTTTCTTTAAGTGTTTTGTTGACATCACTTTATTTATTTATTTATTGACTTTAAAACGTAACTTGGTGAAAACACTTACATTCTTATAATTTTAATCAGGAGAGCCATGCTTCGGCATTGATATCCCGGCTCGACCGAACTGAAACCACGGCGTAACAGAAAACCGACGTGAAACAATATTTGCGTTGTGTTTCGTCGTATGAGTGAGGTTACCAGAGGCCTAACTTCCCTCCCCAATAATCCTCAAATTCCTAATCCCAAAAGGCCGGTAACGCACTTGGTGTTTCCTCTCTCCTCTGGTGTTTCGAGTGTCCATTGGCGGCGCCGATTGCTTACCATTAGGAGATCCGTCTGCTCGATTACAGGCATATTCCATACAACTACTATACTACTTTTGACACTTTAATTAGATAAGCGTAGTATTATTATAGGTTTTTATAAGGGGGGAAAATCATCGAATGACTTCTCCGGCCTGGATGAGGCGGGAGGGAGTGTCAGACTCTTACTGACTAAAAACCACCCTACTCCTGCCCTTCGGGCCCCCGGCAACCCGTTAACTCCTCCGCGGCTCATTCTTGTAGATTACCGACCTGTGGTTTGTCTTTAACTACAATTTACTTTAAAGTATTTAAATGTTATGAAAACCTCCACGATAAGGTAAATACGTAAATAAACAACACCTTAACTGACATAATATGTAGGTATACCTAATTAAATCTAGGTACAACATTTTTAGTGCTTTCCATATTTTTATTTATTAATTTATAAGTATTTTTCAATTTGTTCTGTAACCGCCTCATTGGCCGAGTCGAGGCCGAGTCACCAGTGCGACTGCCGGGGCAAGGGGTCTCGGGTTCGATTCCCGGGTCGGGCAAAGAATTACTGAGTTTTTTTTAAAAAACCTCAGTAGTAGCACGGTGTCTGAAAATGTGACAGGTATATGGCAATAGGCTCACCCCCTATTCCTTGGGACTCATAATATAAATAGTGAAAAGTGGGTGTGACATTGTACAGTGGCATTAAATGCCGTAATGTGCACCTCTGGCTACCCCTTCGGGATCAAAAGGCGTGATGTTATTTTATAATATAATAAAACTATACCTAATTAGTTGTAGTAAGATTGAGATAATTGTATTTACGCAAGGCACGTTCGCGTTTATCACTATGAGGTAAGCATTACACGTGACGACTTAGAAATAAAATCATCTTATTATGACTTATTATTGACAATAATAATAATGGGGATGATGACAGGGTATGAAAATTAAAAATATAATTAGTCCGTAAGTTAGGTAATTAAAAAATATTAGACACGTATTTTTTTATTTTGTCGTATAATAAAACAATACTTAGACAAAACGAATCAAAGTTTAGGAGTGGGGGCTAAAACGTCATTTCTTAGTATGAAATGTACTGAGAAGTGACGTCACGCGACATTTCAAATCAATATATCTTCGAAACTATTCGTTTCTGTGAGAAAATAAAAAATACGTGTCTAATGTTTTTAAATAATCTATCAGACGGACATTAAAATAAAAATTAGTCGTCTACCCTATTCTTATCAATATGCAGAATAGTCCGAAAATTCTTATCAATAGATTAGATTAGATCATCACAAGTATCACCCCCAAAGTTGCTTTGACCAAAAGTCCGCAACTATGGTGTAGTTCCCCAGAAATGGGTGAGGTTTTAACCTAAAATACAATTATAATTCAATAGAATAACTCAATCATATTAGATTTTCTCTCTCAAGAGTGGTCTTTGTTCATTTGCTGACGTATTCCGTTCGATATTTTTGTATGGAATATGTGGCAATTTAAACTAGCAGACGGATCACCTAATGGTAAGCGATCAGCGGCGCCCATGGACACCCGCAACACCAGAGGAGTCACAGGAGGGTTGCCAGCCTTTTAAAGAGGAATACGCTCTTATCTTGAAGGTTTGAAGGTTTAATGATGGTTTAGTAAACGGATTTTAATATTGAATTAACTAATACGAATAACGAAAGAATATTCAAGCAAGAAACAACACTGAGCATACGCATGCGGAATGATACCAAAAAGAAAAAAGGGATTTCGTAAAGAGATTACAAATCGGCGACTGATATAAAAATGTAAAATGGGAAAAATGGCGTGCCTTTAGCCAAACACCACTTTAGTGCTTGTCTACAGAGAGAGTAGAAATCAAAATGTATGGGGATGACACTGAGAAGTGTCAAAATTTACGTCAATCCCATATAATTTGGTTTTCTATTCTACATGTAGACAAGCGCTAAATGGCATTTGGCTACAGCTGAAGTATTTTTTTTAAGGGGGAAAATCATCGAATGACTGCTCCCGCCTGGGTGAGGCGGGAGGGAGTGTCAGACTCTTACTGACTAAAAACCACCCCGGTCCTTCTCCTGCACGTCGAGCCGGAGCCCCGGTTACCAGTTAGGTTCTCCGCGACTACAACTGCAGTATAGGGATAGAAAGAAAAAATTAAGCTAGTACAATAACACGTCATACAGAATTCAAAACACACATACAATAAAAATCAAAATAATAGTTAAACCGACTTAGTAAATTTTGTTTGTTTACTTTTTTTAAATTTAGATACAAACAGTTAGAATAGATAGTAATTAGTATTCGGACTTCTACAAATAACTAGAAGTCACTTTTGTGGGTGATAAAGTGATAACAAAGTAGGTACTTAGGTTTAATTGTGATATCATTGCAATGTCAATTATTATGTTTTATTCGACGAGGAACTGCAACTGTCAGCAACGTGACAGTTGCCGCGTCGGTCGCGAAATGCTACTCATGAATATGAGCCTCTAGCATGGCTTGAAACTAGTCGAGTACCTCGTCGAATAATTACGCGAGTAAGCTGAAAAACAATAATTAATTTAGTATGTCTCACGGATGTCAATGTCAATCGTTTAATCCTAAAGTGCACATCATAATTATTATTAATACGTCTGTTATTCTAGTTTCAAAGAACCTTCAAATCATTGATTTACGATACAATTTTCTCGCGTCTTATCTTTCCTCTTAGAATATGATTCCTGTTTTATTCCATGGGAGCATTTAATCGGGGTGAACAGTATCCTATCACCTAAGTCAGTACCCTGCCTGCATACCAACATCAAAATTCGTTCAGCAGTTTCAGCGTGATTGACGGACAAACGTCCAAACGAAGAAACTTTCACATTTATAATAATAGTGTGATGTCCATAAGTTTCATCCATTAAGAACATTTCTAATATACCTCTAACATTAGTCTCATCTTTGATGTTTTGTTTGTTTAGGTACTTAGGAAAAGATTTTAGCTATCTACCTAATTGGGTAATTATTTAATTTATATTATACAGTTATATCCTTTACATTTCTAATTGAATCCACGTTTAGATAAAAAAAACACAACAATCCCATAATTCCAACTTTATCGGGCATATCATTTAAGACCTTTTAATTCCAAGACGTAGAAACAAAACAATTTAAGAATTGCAATTATTTAAAATTAAACGCCGCCATGATAAAATGAACACGTCCAAAGTGCGAACAGTTGATAATCAATTGCAATTCCAACAGGTGAATACCAGATACTTATCAATATCGTATATCAATCAGATAATAGTTATACAAAAACTAATGGAAAACTTTATAAAAATTGTGTAAGCAGAAAGTTCAACGGCTCCAATCGGAAAGTTTCGCAAGTGTCGAGTAAATAAACAAACGTGAAGATAAAATGACACAAGTACCGCGTATGTCGATAATGATATGTTTAACAGAACATTATTTTTTGGTACAGTGGAATTAACTCCTACAAACAGTGTAAAAATCTGTAAAATTCCTGTTATAATAGATTTAAAGAGGATTAAAACGCTCACCGTTACTAGTTTCAGGACCCGACATGCTGATAGTGGTGACAGACACGTGTCCCCCCTCCACCTTCACCGCGTCGCCCTCACTGCTCATCGCGGTACTCATCACCATCCAGTCCTCACACCATCACCACTCTCACCTCACTAAACTATCGATATTGTTGTCCTTATCGATACAATCGATGTCACTTCACTACACTATTATAGCACCACACACAAGTTCGTCTATGATAAATTCATAGAAAAATACTGCTCAAAAATTTTTCAAAAACTATTTTGCTTTTTCCGCATAATGTTTTTATTCGTATAAAAATAAGTCTGAACGTTTCATCATCTTGCGTCGCCGTTCATTTTTAAGGCAACTTTTGGATTCAGTCTTGCAGTGTCCGTGTTCCTTTTACATATTTTCTTCGCTGAATGTTGTTCGGGTAAAGGCCAAGCTTTTTCGAATGTTAAGCAAGGATGTAGAGGATTACAGCCAAATGATAAAACCAGCATCTTGGGTAACCTGAAACAAAAACAGATCTATGTTTATTTGTTGTTATTTGAACTTTAATAGTTTTTTAAAAAAATGCTGATAAACCGACATGAACTTGTATAAAGGAGTTATCCATGAAATAATGAAAACTGGCAGATTGCTTATGAAATAAAAAAAATCGAGGCCAGAACGACGAAGTTCGATCCGCGCGTGGCTCTGTTCGAATTTGGAATAAAGTGTCGGACGTTTTGAAACAGTGTGTTTGTGTACACGCACGAGACGTGGACGCGTCGCGCGGCCTTGCGAGCGCACCCAGTGCTGCGCGATAGCGTGCGGTATTATTATCGATACGCCTCTCGACCCCTCGTGTCATTGGCATTCTGTTTACGAGGGCGAAGCTCGGTCGCGATAGCGACGGAACGCGTCATACCCACTTACTGAATGAATTGCCGATTTAACAATAAAACTTCATTTTTTATTAAATCACCTTCACATTATTCTGAGTATAACTTCTAATACATAAACAATTTGCTAATGGTAACAGCGTTCACCGGTAACTTATCGTAGATACCATTAGCAAATGAAAGAAAACATACATTTTATCAGTATCGAATACCTGCTTCTATTGTTCGGATTACACGGTAAGTTATCGATAAAACCAGTCACTAGCACAATCAAAGAAGGGAGTGGGGGAGGGGCGTTGTGCGGCCTTCACGGAGCCGGTTGTAGCGACCGGCCGGCCGCGAGCATTTCGCCTTTCGCGCGCAGGACTGGTCCGCCGCTCCCAATACCGAGCCACGGCAGCACACTCGATAATGTGTGAGATGAGTGTATTATGTACAAAGTTGAGTAATTAAATACGAAACCTATTGCGATACAGACAAAACATGAGTCACAATTTACCGTTCGAATTAAAGTCAACTCAATACTGCTGTGTACACTGTCCATTCAACTTCATAAATAATCGTGCAGAATGTCGAAACGTTTAGTACATATGTATGAATGCAGGGTAGGTATCAGTTACTACCGTCTGGCGGGCCAATTAGCGTCCAATAAAGTCCCTTGCCCCCAGACATTTCTCAGTTATCGCTATCAGACACTGAGACAGGCTGCAGTGCAGTCGCCTTGGCAACGCAATTAACCACTACTTGCACAACTTATAGCTTGTCTAGGTTGCACCATTACCGAAGTGTTTAGAAACAGTTATTCTCGTACCCCTTTATTATTCAAACCTGTTTACTGTTTACCTAATATATAGTCATTTACACAAAAAGCTGCAATCAGTAGCTTAATTTAGTCGCGCAACTACTGAACGAGACAAAGAAAACAAGAGCTTTAAAAACGTAATGTCTTTATTCTAATCTATTCAGCTTGACGTCTATCTTGTTCTATTATTAAATTTAGTTACGATCGAAAACGTCCATCTCTTTCATTTAGATAGCGAAATAGTATTTCAGAGCGAGACGAATATAAATTTGGTGTCCTAATAAAAGGAGTTCATCAGCACGCAAGATGGCGTCACCGTGGCCTAGACAAGGCCGAGCGGTCATTTGTACGATACGCCAGACGAGCTGCTTTGTTTGCCTCCTATTTATGGATTATCTTTCCAACAAAACGTGGCGGATTTTTAGAATCTCAGTAAATATTTGTCCACCAATATTACCGGAAATGTTCAACACTACGTTTGTTAACCCACCGTTATGAATAATACGAATTGATAAGAAAGATAAGGAAAAATTAAGTTGCCTGATTTACAATAAGAATTTTCCGCGTTTAATCCAATTCAAAATATTCCAAGGAACATTCGTATAGAACCAGTTTTCTAAAATTGCATAAGTAACTTAAGATAATTATCATGCACCAAATCGAGATAATGATAATTCCTTGACAGCAATATGCAGGCATTTATCGCGGCTGCATAAGCTGCCTTTAGTTGCTCAATTGGAAGCAGTTAGCGGTTGCTTTAATACTCAAATATCGAGGAAAAATCGTTTGGCATCAAATTACTTGGTTTGGTATTTATAGGCTCGGCAAGTGATGTCCTTGCTTTGTTGTAGTCAGTTATCGATAAGGCTACGTGAGACGAGGCGTCGACCGATAATTATCTTAAGGTCACAGCACTATCTGTGACGTAGAGTGCCATGCATTGTGATAGTGATGGATGGGCCAAACTGAACACTGGTACAGGTAAACATTTTTATATTTCAAACGTATATTATTATATGCAAAAGGAAGTGGATTTTGTAAATACAACGATACAAACAAATTTTGAGTTTCTTTTCATTTAACAAAGTACACAAACTTTCTTTCTCTTTCTTTCATATTGCTCTGAGTGTAAAGTCCAAATAAAAACAGTTTTTAACAGCTGCATGCACGAGCGAATCGTGACAAAGCAATACAAGTGATGGTAGGAATACCGTTGAGGAAAATTGTGAACGTTAATTTCCTACATCCTTGACCCCGATGGAGTGAGGTCGTCTTCGAGGGCGACGCACCCTATCGCCCACGATGACTGAAATAGAAGAGGTTAATACCCCCTAGCACGCCACTATTGCGAACAAAGAACTATGGGGTGGATAGAAGCGGTACCCTTCGTACATCAATTACGAACAGTTTAGAAATTGTATACTGACATATTTGTAGAAAATTTTGTAAATAAATCAACATTTTCTGCTTCATTTACAAAGTATGATAAAAACTGCACGTGCGCTATTAACTTTTAGGAAGTAATTTCATGTGATTGCACAATGCAATTTTATGATGATGAATCAGTTTGCTTTTAAGTTAATATGACTAAAGTCGTTCGAATAAAAGGCGATCCCTAACTAGATTTCATTGCTCCGAACCGGACAATATAGAGCTTTAAAAAGACAACTTTAAAATAATTATGCGCAGACGGGGTAAATACAAAAGTCTAGACTGTAAAGCGTACCTCGGTTAGTCATAGAAGAAAGTAACGGAGGTGAATGTCTGATCTTAGAGTCGTGTGCCAACGGCCTTCCCTGGTGCCATGCCAACAGGTGTTTTCCGTAGTAATCATTCAGAAATAACATTACTCCGTAATTTTTATCGAATGGCTGACGACACAGGACGTTTCCTCATTAAGACGGTCGTAACCCAAGAATAATATTTGTATGGCAGCATGACTGGTCAATGACAATTGGTTTATCAAAGTGACAATTTATCGTAATCAAATGCAATGATGATATTGTTTTTTCGGCATCGATAATTCATAAAAAATATGGTACATCCCTAAACTTACAAGGATTGATAAATGATATTTTTAGGTTCTGTAAGATTATTATTTATTTAGTGTCCTTTTCATTATATTTTGTGTTACGAAATACTAGCAGAAATTATAAATGTTAGGATCATTACGAGTGAGCAATCTTAGAAGATATTTTTTTTAAATCATAACCATTATAAGTACTTAAATTCAGCATTAATTCATTGCAAATAGCACATTAAAAATAAAGCTTGTTCGTAACTTCATACTACAAGGATTTTTTATTAGAAAGACGTAATTATGAAATGAAATGACGATAGTTCTAGGTAAATAGACTGTAGTTCTAAGACCTTTGCCGATGCCAACGACCCTTCTGGTGATCTGCCAACATATGGACATGTTCTACCAGTTAATTAGATGAAATATGATGTTATGTACATTTTGGCACTTATCTAAAGTGACAATGATGGTTTTTACATAGGATAATAAGTTCATAGACCGTTTGGGAGCGATGAATACCTCATGACTCGTGTAGGTACCTCGGTACAGTTTTTTGACTGTAGCTTTCATTTACCTCTATTTTATCCTTAACCACGAATAAATTGGTGATTTCATAGATTAGACATTATTTTAAGTTCTTATAAAAAATCTTTTTTGTTAGTAATCACATAATCTGATACATTCATAGAAATAAAGATAAACATTAGGTATAGACCTTATGTACAGACCTAATGTTTATGTCTTTTGTTTATGTAAGTAAGGGTATTGTTTCTCGCACGTGTCTTGTTTAATATTTTAATACAGTGCCATTCCTTCTGACACCAAGTAACACACAACTTGCCCAAAAATCTACGAACTACGAACTACGAACGCGTTTAATGCAACATTAGTATCCACATTCCACTCACAACCTCACTACCATCCAACATCCATCGATCATCCATCCATACAACATCAATAGGGATTTAATAACACGCAGTAAACTGCAATATAAATTCTAAGTAGCTATCGACTTTTCATGTCTACATTTAAGAGGCAACGGGGAAATGGACCCCTATTCAAGTAGAGAGCAATTTATTAATACGACCGTACTACAAGTGGAGACGTCTGTCTGTCTGTCCGCAATAAATATGAATACTGGCTGGGTTTATTGATTCAGCCAAAGTTCATGCCCTCTTAGTCTGCCATCAACAGGTAGCTTCGGGCCCGACAAATTGATATTAGATTGTACGGGCACTTTGTGAACGTTTCCGTCTGGCAGTCTCGTCGACTTTTTTAAATACAGTAAGGGAAAATTTAATTTAGGTACTTTGTAGATGTTTTTAAGTCAGTCGCAGATGGGACTTAAAGGTATATCAATGGATTTTGATTCAAAACCATCTTAATTATAGCGTAGACAGCTAGTGTG